GGGGGGGGCAGTACCCTTCGTCCGCTTTGCTCTGCAGGACGTATCGTTGGTGCTCGAGGTCCCTCAGCTCCACCTCCAGCGTGGCGCACTCCGACTGCAGATCAGATATGCGCCGATCCAGCCTGACACACCGACACAGACACAGACACACAGACACGATGAGAAACCTCCCGTCTCGTCTTTGACTGTCGCCCACTCGTCGATTTCGTTGGTGGTCCACTTGGTCGCCTGTCGCACCTGCTCATCGGTCGGCGCACCGCGGAGCAGACCAGAGACTATCTCATCTGCCGATGGTGGTGCCGGTGAGGGGGCCATGCTGACAGACACACGTGGACACACCACATCCATAGACCAAATGACTGGGTGGTGGGCGGCTCTCTCATGGAGGGTCTCCCTCCCATCTGTTGTCCTTCCTACCCTTTGCAAGGGGGTGACGACACCCCAACCCCACCATTTTGCCCACCAGCCGTCCCTTGCTGCTGCTGGTGATGGTACATGGTGGCTGCCTGCCTGTATAGAGCGTCGAGGCGCTTGTCCTCCTCACCAATGCGCGCGGCAAAGGCCCGCACATCGGTGGGAGACGCCAGTGCCAGTAGAGCCTCACGCGTCAACCTGCACACACAAAGACAATACAGGAGGGATCGTGTGCCTGTCTGGATGTGGTGGACATGATGGCTGGGCTTCTCCTTGTTACTTGTGTGTGGAAGTGCCATGGTTCTTGAGCTGTCTGATGGACTCCTGCAGCTGGCCCTTGCGATCGGTGAGGCGTGTGCGCGTGTCCAACAGGGCGTCGTACGACGACTCACAACTGACGAATAGACAATGCACACAGACAGCCACGTGCAGCGCCTCTACCGACGCCTTTGGCTTTTCCTTCTCTGCGGCCGTACCTCTGTTTCTTGAGCAAAGCAGCAGTGAGCTGCACTACCGCCTCTCTCACAGGAGCTGCGGCTGGTCCGCCAGCCACCACACGATGAGGCGCCCTGCGAGGTGCTGCCCCTCCTGTCGACGGTGGCAGAGCAGGCCAGTGGCTCGACACAGCCCTGACCGAACAAAGGCACGCTTGCATCGATCAAAGACACAGGGGCTTTTGATCTCTCACACACCCGTCGTGGTCGCGCAGAGACGGTGGCTTGCTCGGGGTCTGCTGTGCTGGCGCTGGGCTGGAGCTCCTGGCGGCGTCCCACTCGTTCCAGGCTTCCTCAAACTCTCGCCACGACTCATTGACGTGCCCAGCTGCCCCGCCACGGCCATTGCAACCGTTGCTGTTGCTGTGGCTGTTGCTGTGGCCGTTGTGGTGTGTGGGTGAGCAGGCGGTGCTGTTGCTGGCCATGCTGGTGAGGGAGGCCTGTGTGAGGAAGGCTGGCGTGGCGATGTTCTTGGGCGTCGTGACTGGCGCAGTAGTGGTGGCCGCGACGATGGCCATGGTTGCAGGGGGGGCCGGGTGGCGGGAAGAGGACTCCTGGCCGCCGCTGTGCCCGACGGAAGAAGTGCTGCCCGCTTTGGCCTTGTTGTTCTTGCCTTTGCGGCGACGCGCCGAGGTCCATGCTGATGTCGATGCCGATGTGTGCTCCTGATCTAACGCCGCTTCATTGGTAGCCATAGCTATGGTAGTGGCCGACTTCACCGACTTCTCTGCAGCAGCGGCTTGCTGCTGCTGTGACTGTTGCTGTTGCTGCACCGCATCCCCCGCGTTGCTGTCGTCGAGCTCATCTGGAACACTGTTGCCGGCCGATTCGCTGGCCACAGGTCGGACGGCTGCCTCCTTGCCGCCTCCCATCTTGTTCTTCTTTCTGTCTCCCTTTTTCTTGGCGGCCTCCTTGGCCATGAGCTCGGAGGCCACCTTGTCGGTGTGCCACTGCCGGTGGGCCGCAATCAGCCGCGACGCGATGGGCCGCACGACGAACGCGTAGAGCGCCAGCAGAAGGATAACCACACACACCTGCCAGACAGAGACAGAGAGAGAGAGAGAGAGCAGCAGAGGTGGATGGATGGATGGACGGCAGGTGGGCAAAGGGGCCGACCGACGGGCAGGCAGGCAGGCTTGTGTGGGTAAGAGTTACCATGGGCAGATAGGCCTGCATCTCCTGTGGGCTGGGGAAGCGAAGCGTAGGCTGAGTAGAGAGAGAGAGAAGCAAAGACCAGACCAGACACCGTTGATTGAGAAGACCGAGATGCGGTCGTGTCGTGTGTATTGATTTCAGCGGCTCACTCGGTAGTCCTCCAGAGTGTTGAGCAGCCTCTTGGCCTGGATGGATGTCGCCCCGAGGCCCGTCTTGGCGAGCTCCGTGATCGGCTCCATGCACAGCGACTGCACACACGGGGCAAGACCAACAGAGAGACTCTCAACTCATGGGTGATCGATTGGATGAGAGACTCCTGTGCTGACTGACCTCCTGCAGCTCCCCCTTGACTCTCTCATCAAGCGGCGTGTCCTCACTGAATGGACGGACGCATTTTAGGTGTGCAGTGTGTTGTGTTATTTGTCTGGTGTGTTTGTATGGTGTGTCGGTCGTGTCGGTCACATACCCACCTGATCTGCACGAGGAGCGTGTTGAAGCTGTGCAGCATGAGGCGGCTCAGGTCCTGGACGCCCAGCGCACTGCATGTCACCCCCACACAGCCGTGCTTCACACCGTACCAACGCTGGCACACACACACAGAGAGAGAGAGAGGGTGCGTGAGGGTGTGGGTGGGTGAGTGGGCGCTGTACCTGTTGGTCCGTGCCGAAGTTGAGGATGCCAATGCACGACATGGCAGTGAAGGTGCGGAGGCTACTGCCGTCCCACTGGTGGCTCTTGATGCCCTGCATGGCCTGCGGGATCACGCCGGCCTCCACAAACTTGTCGATCCCCAGAGTGTACCCCTCGTCAGACAACCCTGTACCCGCACACACACAGACACACAGATGTATGGACGAATATATGTGTGTGTGTGTGTGTTGGTTGATGTCTGTGTGCGTGCGTACGAGCTGCGAGGGGCAGCACGGCAATGACGGCGCTCTGACGCAGCTCCGGATTGGGCGATGACAGCAGGGGGGCCAGCTTGGCGAGGGCGTGGCGGCTCTCCATCAGCCTCTGCGCCAGCGGCTCAACCACCTTCTCAAGGCCATACTTCGCTGCTCACACACACACAGAGACACCCTCTCGCCAGATCCCTCTTCGCGCCTCTCTGCCTGCGTGTGTCTGTGTGGGCTGTTGGCATACAGTCAATGGCCATGGCCTTGAGCACTAAGGCAGCGTCCATCTGGATGTCCTCACTCTCGTGGCCCATCAGCTCGACCATCACGTCGAATGCCTCCACGCTGAGCATGATCCCGGCCTCCTCGTCGGCCACCTTATTCTGCTTGGTGTGCAGCACGATGGTCTGCAGCAGTGTGAGCAGCCTCCTGATGGCGCTGTCTGGCGCAGACACCAGCGCCCGATCCAGATGGCCCACAAGGGCAGGGACGGCACCACGCCTGAGTGGAGAGCACCAGACACACACACACACACACACAAGCAATGGAGAGACCGCCCGCCAAGCCCTCAGGCTGTGGCGCGTACTTGATGAGCTGTGGGATGCCTCTTTTGGGGCTGTATCTGGCCATCATTTGCAGCACCGAGCATCCCTCAAACTGGGCCTCCTCGTTATCGAGCATGCCTGCCAGCCGCAGCAGGTCGGGGACCAGGTGGGCATACCGCGTAGAGACCGCGTGGGGGAACGTGTACGCCGACAATGTCCTCACCTGCATTGATTGCCATGCGCACACAACACAACACATCCCGACACACACACTCAGTCAGGTGCTCGTGCTTTCCCTTTTGCTTGTCCGTCCGTCTGAGTGCCCTCGCCTGTCTGGCGGCGTTGATTTGTGTTCTGATGCTCGAGAGCTCCGACAGCCTATCGGTGAACCGGTCGGGCCGCGCCATCGCTTACGAAAGGAAAATACAGAAACTCGAAGCCTTTTTCCCCCTCACACACTCCGATCTCGCAGGTTTGAGCTCGCCCTGGCGCGTGTATTCTTTTTCGACTGTCTGGCGGCGTCACGAGCCCCTTATGCAGCGACGGGAAAGGACCCTCCAGCAGATGCAACAAAAAGAGCGAAAATGCGGCAACGATCTGAGCGGTCCCATGCCACGGAGTGACCATCTATCTGTCCGTATCTATCATTGTCTTGCGCTCACACAGGCATGGCATGCCAGGAGGCAAAGAGGACAGAAGGGCGAGAGAAGTGTGTACAATAGACAGACACGCAGCCAGACGGACAAGAACGCCAGACAAGAGAGACGGCCCTATCGACCCGACCAACCAACAAACCAGCCAACCACCACATACATGTATGCACACATGCGCTAACACTCAATCCATCCATCCATCGAATATGCACACCCAGAAGTGGTGTGTGTGGTTCAGGAAGTGCTACAAACCCCTGGGGACGAGGCTGCTTGCCTTCTGCTGTGAGAAGTACGCAGCCGAACAGGCAAACACGAGCGACGAGTTCGTGCCTCGCTGCTCATCCTTTCCTTATCGCCCACGCAGGCCACACAAGCAGACGGCGCGCGGCTAGGAGTTTACTGTCGGAAAAGGAATAGAATAGGCGGGCTCATCAACTGCACACGTATTCACAAGACTGACTGTACAGTGAACGACGCAAATAGGGAGAAAAGGCAGAAGCAAGAAAAGGAGCCATCACCCCACCCACCGGTGCATGGCACCCCCGAACACGAGACGCCCCACGAGTATCTATGCGTCTGTGCTTCTATCTACAGGATGGCCCGCAGCCGCACCTCCGCATAATACCTCCTGGGCGTCATGAGCCGCCTCGTCTCGCCCACACGCATCGACAGCAGCGCCTCAGGCAGCCACCCGTATCCCAGGTCGGCCACACGGCACACACGACCCAGGTAGTTGCCCGTCTTCTTGCTGCCGTCGAAGCCGTCCACCCACTCGATCCTATCGTACTTGACCGTCTGCTGGCGGGTCGGTTGCATGCCGGTGCCGTGCTGCACGATCTGGTAGCGCACGCCCGAGGAGGGCAGCTTGGTGAAGCAGCCGTGGTCACTACTGGTGCCGCGAACCAGCGCCGCGCCTGACACGAACAGGGGAACATGCGATGGGATGCGTCTGTGCGTTCGGCGAGGATGGCTTGCCGACGGCCTCCCCGTGTACCTCTGAATGGCCCGCATGGCGTTGGCGTGGTGCCGCTGAACATCTCTGCACACACATGAGGCGACGTGAACAACCCCTTGCTACTGCTAACAGAAGGTGCGGCACCTGCACGAAACACACCAACCAACCAACCGACCAACCAACCAACCAACCAACACGATACCCATGACATCCTCCCTCCTCCCCAACCATCCATCCATCTCCCATATCTCTTACCGAACTCTCCTCCAGTAGTCGTCAGCTGCGCCCCACTGATCTGGTGCTGGGCGGTATTGCCACCTACTGTGGGCTGGTGCACGCCATATGCAGGCTCGGATTGGCCGCGGAGCCAGCCCGTTTGCTGCTGCGGCGGCGGCGACGGCGGCGGCGCGATGCCATGCAAATGGGGAGAATGGTTGCCGATCCAGGCACTGTCAGACTGACGACGCACACTCACGCCATTGCTGAAGCAGCAAACACAGGCCCAAACGAAGGAGGGCAAACACGATGACGCCGACTGACGATGGTTGTGCATCTGTTCTGCATGCTTACCTTTGCCCGACAGGTCGCAGTCGCAGTCGACCATCGGGCTTCGGCTGCATTTCACTCCCCTTCCCGTCGGCTCATGCTGCGAGCCTAAAAATGCTGCAAGCTCAACTTCCGCAAGGGAGAAGCGGCCGAAAGAGATGCTCCGCCCACTGCGCCGCCTTGCCGATGTGGCAAGGAGGCCAGCAGCAGCAGCGGGTGCACAGCGTGCCAGCGTCCGGTGGATGTCCGATGAAGTGCCCGCAGAAGCCTGGCTGCAGCCAAAGACTCGTAGGATGGATGGACAGGCAGGGGAGAGGCAGACAGACAGATGAGTGGCAGATTTCTGTCGGCAGGGTGCCTGCCGACCTCTTGCACGTCGGTGTGTGTCTGTGAGTCTGTGTGTGTCCTGATCTGCCTGTTGCTGTGTGTCCTCGTGTGTGGTGTGTTGGTGTCATCAGAGGTGACAACTTTGCCGAACGGGCTGCGTGTGGCGACCCAGCAGACCTTCGACGAGACGGCCACCATCGGTAGGTGCAGATGTCAGCTTCGCATGACAGTCTGACTGTCTGTCTGTCTGTCGTCTATGTGCAGGTCTGTGGATCGACAGCGGGAGTCGGTATGAGACCAAGGAGACCAATGGGGCCGCTCACTTCCTCGAACACATGGCATTCAAGGTCAATCACACAACCACACACAACCAGACAGACAGACAGCCGAACAAACAATCACCTTATCTTTCTGTCTGTGTGTGTGTGTGCTTGTCTGTCTGTGTGTCTGTCTGGTGTCAGGGAACGAACAAGCGGAACCGTCTTCAGCTGGAGAAGGAGATTGAGGACATCGGCGGACACCTCAATGCCTACACCTCCAGGGAACAGACTGTGTAAGTGTGTCAGTCGCCTGATGGATGGATCCATGCTGCGGGTCTTCACACGTACGTGTGTGTGTGTGTGCTTGACTGACTGGTCAGGTACTACGCCAAGGTGCACAAGCAGGACACCAAGCAGGCCCTCGACGTGCTCTCAGACATCATCCTTAACTCACAAATCACACCTGGTCAGTCACCACACCACATACATACACACACGTCTGTCTGTCTGTCTGTGCGATGGATGAGGGAATGGCGCGTGATATGTGTGTGTGTGTGTGTGCGTGTGCGTGTGTGTGTGTGTGCAGGTGCGATCGAGGAGGAGCGCGCGGTGATTCTGCGCGAGATGGAGGAGGTCGAAAAGTCAATGGAAGAGGTCGTCTTCGACCGAATGCACCAATCGGTATGCTCACACACACGAGGACACATGCTTGTCCACACGCCACACCCCCTGCACCGCGGACATCCACCGTGTGTGTGTGTGCATCAGGCGTTTCGTGACTGTTCTTTGGGCTACACCATTTTGGGTCCGGTCGAGAACATCCAGAACATGCGCCGGGAGCACCTCCTCGACTACATCAAGAGGAACTACAAGGCGGACAGAATGGTATCAACAAAGGCGACGAGAGGAGAGAGAAACAAAGGAAGAGTCCATCGGTGCTGTAACCACGCTCAGGTGATCGCTGCTGCTGGTCCGGTGGACCACAAGGAGATCGTGCGGCAGGCCGAGCAGTTCTTCGGCAAGGTCAGCACACTTGCGCAACGCCCATCCACCGATCCATCTCTGCCTGCCTGTGTGCCTGTCTGTGTGTGTGCAGGTTGCGACGACGCCCGACGATCTGGTGCAGCCCGTTGAGGAGAAGCCCTACTTCGTTGGCGCGCAGCTCCTCTACCGGTGAGTGAGTGACTGAGTGAGTGAGTGAGTGAGGAGAAGACGTATCTGTGGCCATCGGGGCTCTCTCTCTCTCTCTCTCTCTGCACGTGTGTCTGTGTGTCTGTGTGTGTGTGCAGTAACGACGAGATGGGTCCGACGGCCTACATCGCCGTTGCCTGGGAAGGGGTCCCATGGAAATCACCCGGTCAGCCATACGTTGATCCATCAACACGGCACGGAGAAAGACGCTTGTGCGTTGTGTGTGTGTCTATGTGTGTGTTGTGTGTGTGATTGATGCAGACGCGCCGGCGTTCATGGTGATGCAGTCCATCATCGGCAGCTACAGAAAGGAAGACCTCTCAAACATCGTTCCGGGTATGGAGAAACACACACGCAGACTTATGCGCTCGTGAGTACGACCCTGTGTGTGTGTGCAGGTCAGGTGTCGGGCAATATGACGATCCAGCGCATAGCGACCAAGCAGATGGTGGGCTGCGCCGACGCATTCAGCGCTTTCAACACGCACTACAAAGACACCGGTGGGTGAGCCTGCACATGCTTGACTCACACACACACACATACATGGTGGCATTTGTGTGTGTGTGTGTGTGTGTGCAGGTCTGTACGGCTGGTATGCGGAGTGTGACGAGGTCGCTGTGACGCACTGCACCCAGGACATGATGTTCGGCAACACATGCATGGCCTACAACGTAACACACAGACGCACGCACAGAATGACGTACTCACGCAGATGCCCATGTGTGTGTGTGCAGATCACCGAGGAGGAAGTCAATCGCGCCAAACTGCAGCTGAAGGTCAGTCCTGCCTCAGACACACACACCAATGCGGCTGCGTGTACGTGTGTTCATCCATCCATCCATCAGACCCAGATGCTCGGCGCGCTGGACTCGACCACATCGATCGCCGAAGAGATCGGCAGACAACTCCTGTAGGCCTTCGTAGCCCACACACACACGCCAGCAGACACACTCGTTTGTGTTTGTGTGTCGACTGATTACCCCTCAGTGTGTACGGCCGTCGTATGCCCGTGGCCGAGTTCATCAAGCGCATCGACGTCATCGACAGTGAGGAAATCAAAAGGGTCGCGTGGAAGTACCTCCACGACCGGGTAAGACGCTGTGACCGCACACACCCCCTCCCGCCCACACAAACCATCGCGACTCTGTGTGCGTGTGTGGTGCACTGCAGGAGATCAACATAGTGGGCATGGGTCCTCTGCACGGGATGGAGAGCTACCCCAAAGTCAGGAACCAGACCATGCTCTACAGATACTGACTGAAGCGCCGACGTGACGCATCGACGGACGACCCACTCCCTCGTCTCACATGGCGAGAATGAAGTTGTTCTCATGCTGGACGCAGTGCGATTTGTTCACTTTGCCATGCGCAGAGACAGGCAGAGAGACAGAGAGAGAGAGATGGCGTGCAGGGAGTGTTTTCCTGTCAGCAGTAAGTACACACGTCCTTGTGTCCGCTTGTGTCTGGTGAAGGTGTTGGCGTTGCAGGGTGGACAAGTGGGGTCGTGCATTGCATGATGAGTGAGTGGACTGACTGTTGTGGTACAGACAGACCACAGGCCTTTAAACCGTTGATCGACACTCTTGTTTCGTGCAACCCCAGCCGACCGACCGAAATGTCCACTCCATGCATTTCTCGCTTCAACAGAGCACTTTCCTGACGTGTCGAAAGACAGCCCTCAGCCGCCACCCACCTTTCCCTCCATCATGCGAGGGGGGGGATCCAGCTCATCTTGTGGTCTGATGGCGAGGAATGGGTGGACACGCACACGAAGAGAGAGAAGGATAAACCTCAGACCTGAGCATTTATTGTGTGGTGTACTTTCGTGCCCCGGAAAGTAGACTCTGTAGTGGACAAGTGTGCGGGCCTTGCCAAAGTTCTCCGAATACTTGCCGGCGTCGTGGGTGTAGGTCGCTTGCAGTCCTGGCCGATCGAGGCAGGCTTCATCTCCTTTCCATCAAGTCGCTCGATCTTCTGCACACACACACACACACACAGAGGGAGAGAGAGAGAGATGAATCGGTATCATGTGTGCCGTGACGTCTGTCTCGCCTGTTGACCGACCGCATCGCGAGCCATGCAGAACCGGCCATCAAGCTCCTCCAAGACATAAGCCGACCCCTTGGCGCACTTCGAGTCGGCAGAATCGTTGTCCACACAAGTGCCCTGCACACCAGACACCCAATCCCTTCACGGCCCACACACGCATCGCCACACACCCGACCTTGCCGACGGAAGGATGAAACGACGCAGCGTCCTCCGGCCTGCCCCAGGGGAGGCTCCGTTTGTCGGCCCCCGCGTTGGTCACTAAATTGACGTGGTCGACCACACACGTCTCCGTGTTTTTGTAGCACCAGCCGGTGGCGCCAGATTGGTACTGGTCGCCGACCATGCTGTATTCGTAGTCCTCATGGGATTCCAGCCCGTCTTTCTCCATGCGAGCACCTGACTCCCACGTAATGACGGCACCAAAGACCACGGCGCACCCGCCCCCAGGCTTGTTGTCGTCATGGGCAGAGGCGCTCCCTGTGTGTGCAGACACACGCCATGTGTGGTGTGTGTGATGCATGCAGTGCGTATACCTTCGCGAAGGCGCCACTTGTCCGCGGCATCGCCAACTGCAGGCATACACACACAGGGAGCATCATGTCATGGATGCATGGCTTCTGACATCTACCGATGCATTTGTCCTCCAGTGTATCGCCACTTGCGTGCTGCATGGTGGCACAAAGGGCGAGGAGAAGCGCCAAAGCCATCTTGATACCGACCATTAAAATTTTCCCCGAGTGCCGAGGAACCGTCGCGGCCAGGTGCAGATCTTGGCCAGATCAGCTCAGGATTCCTCGGAGAATCCGCCCCCTCAGGGCTATCGTGTGCTGCGATGCCTTTACTTTCTCGAAGGAGCTGTCGTGTCTGTGAGGCGATCTTCTGATGACATGTCGTATCTTCTGCGTGTGAGTGTTGTCCAGCCACATGCGAATTTTGGGGCTGTGCACATGCGTGCATCCAATCATTACTCCACTAATCGAGCCTAGTATATGCAAGAATAGAGGCGAGTAGATTAGAGTAGAACACCCGACAGGCAGACACACGGCAATGCACTAGAAGACAGTGCTCACTGCTCACTGCTCACAGTATCTCCACCAGCCTGTACTCACCGAACAGGGCCTTCATTCTATCGTAGCTGAATCTGGCCGGGAGGATGACCCGCCGCACCTCACCCACACGCATGTCAGTGACGGTCTCAGGGAACCACTCAACCCCAACAGATACAGGAAACACCTGCCCACGGAGATCGCATATCTCGTCTCGTCCGTCAAAGTCGTCACGCCACTCGATGTAGTCGACCTTGACCCGTTGGTCACGGGTCGGTTTGGGTCCACTGCCCGGCCGCACCACTCGAAACCGCACACCCGACGGCATCTGTGTGAACTCATCGCCACTGCAAGGGAAGACCAATACGACAGATGGTGGCACCAGCCCCTCCTCTTGCTGCTCTTGATATGTGTACCTGGTGTCTGAGATGACTTTGTCTGTCTTGACGCTGTACATGGCCGTGTTGACGTCGAAGGCCGCCTGCTCTGTCGAATTGGCCATCTTCAGCACCGCAGCCATGTCGGCGGCCGACGCACCGAGTCGCTTTCGGCGGTAGTGATCGACCATACGGCCGATGTGGTCGGGCTGCACCACCTCAACAGGCCGCGGCCACCTAAGGACACACACACAGCCACTGGCAGTGTGCATCGCTGATACTGTGTGCTTCGATGGATCGAAACTCACATATCGAATCTGTTTCGCAGCTCGTCGCCCATTTCGTCCAAAGTGGACTGAGTGGTGGATATGACCTGGCCGCACACGTCGACAGACCGGATGGCATCGCCGCCACTCAGAGGCAGCAGGAAGGGACTCACCGCCTGTGTGAACCACACCATCGACGGACGCACAGCAGACAAACAGCCCCTTCCTCTCTCGGTGCCTCCCACCTGTATCTCTTTGTCGAGGTTGTCACGTCGTCCTTGTGCCGCCTGCAGCAGGCCCTCCAGCCGGGCCTTCTCCTTGGTGAATGACTTCATGATGGCTTCGAGCGTCTTGACGGCGTCGCCCATCGCGGCAGGGCTGTCAGTGGCGGACAGGCGCGGCTCAGTGACGCCACTGGGAGGGGCCGCTGAGGCCGCCTTGTCCAGTGGCGACAGCAGCAGCTCGGTCCAGAAGCCATGACGACCTACACCACGGTCAGCCAGAGACAGAGTGAGAGGACAGGATGAGTGCGCTGTCGCTTTCATGGCCCTTACCGGTGTAGTCCCGCTGGGATGCATCCTCGAGCAGCGTGACAGCCGACGCCGCCTTGCCCGCCTGGCGGAGGGTGGCGGCGTTGAGGATGGCCGTGTGGATGGTCTTGAAGGCCTCCGGGCAGATGTCGATGAACACCCGCTGTTTGTCGTCCCTGACCAGACGGCCATCCCAGCAGCCCGAGAAGAGCGCCGCCAGCAGAGTGCCCTCCACCCCCTCCCCCTGAGTCATGTGCTGCCGCTTCACTCGCCACTCGCTGCCGCCCACATTCAGCATCAGCACGTCATCGGGCGATGCCGCTGAGGGGTCCGATGCGCCGTGCGTCTGCCTCTCTTGCTGGGCGTCCTCGTCAGCCTGGCGGATCTGGGCATGCAGCTGGCTGATGGCGTCGCTGATGGCCGTCAATGGCCCCTGCAGCTGAAGCTGCATCACAGGGACGCTGAAATCGGCATCCATCGTCACTGGCGTGCCTCTGCACCACACAAGCATGACAGATCTGGATCGTTTTTGATTGCTATCTCTCCTGCCTCACCTGGGTGGTGCTCTCGACCCCCTGACGTGCAGCGATGCCTTCCGAATCGCTCACGACCGTGCGAGCTCAGCTTACAAGAAACCAAAGCTGAAGGAGGAGAGGAACAAATGAGGTAGGGGCAGAGCTGAGGAGTGACACAGAGGCTATGATCAAGAAGATCATGAGTGCATCTGCCGATTGTCTGTTCTGTGTGTCAGCGTTCGTCGGTCTGCTGTCATGGAGCCCTACACTCGCCACGAAGCCCTCTGCCGACTGGACAGGCAGATCATCCCCTTGATGGAGATCCTCGAGGCCGAGCGGGCTGACATCGTCTCCTCTTATGACATTGGCAAACTGCTGAGTGACCACGGCGCCTTAGACCCATCGGCGGCCTCTGGCGACGACCTGCTTAAGCTCAATGTCGGCGGGAGCCACTCGTCTGTGCGCCGCAAGCACCTGACGAGCGTCGAGGGCACACTGCTGGCGGTGCTGCTCGGTGGCCGATGGGACGGCCGCCTTGTTCGTGATGCAGACAGCCGCATTTTCATCGACGTGTGTCCGGATGCCTTCGGAGCTGTGCGGGACACGCTGCTGGAGGGCGGCAAGGAGGCGGTGGACCAGCTGATGGACCAAATCAAAGAGCGAAACCGCTCAGGTGAGCCATTAGGACAGACGCCATCTGCTCTCTTCATATATTCCTGTGTGGTGTGGGTGCAGGTCCGCACGACTTTTGGACAGCATTGCTGCTGTCGCCCATCGACAAGCCGTCCAGTGACGCACCGACTACCACACAGGCCGAGTGTGATGAGCCGACTGTGCCATCAGAGGGATTGCTGTCGGAGCTGTCAGGCTTCATGTCGGAGGTGGAGAGCTTCGTCAAGACATTCACTGCGAAGAAGAACGAGCTCGACAGCGAGCGGGCGGCCAAGAAGGCCGCATACGACCAGACGATGATGGAGATTACGGTGAGAGAAACAAAGCCAACCGAAGCACAAGGTTGTCAATCGGTGCATCTGTCCGTCTCTCTGTCTGTCTGTCTGCCCATCAGGCCGTCATGCCATTTCTGGCGCCTCTGAGTGGCGACGATCCCATTCGGTCTATCGACGTGTGCGGCACTCTCATCTCGACGGTGCAGTCCACTTCGGACGAAATGGGCGACATTGGGCTTCACAACCGATTCGATATGTAAGCGGGTGCAGAGGACACAACAACACGGGCATATGGTATGTGTGATGTATTGTCGTCGATCAGGTGGCCGGCTCCCATTGAGGATGTGCCTGTCGACCACGTCCGCCGTCTGGTGGACTACTACCGCCGCAAACGCCACGCGGCCTCACTGCCTAACACACACCTGCTGGGCGGGGTGCGAGTGCCGCTGCTGACAGAGAGGGCGGCCCGGCAGGAGACCTTCAACAAGACGGCACAGATGTACGGCGTCGACACGCAAAGGTGAGATGCCTATGAGAAGAGTGATCGTCAAGTGATGATTGGCTCGCTCTTTTCCTCTCCTCAGCTCTCCGAATGGCCGGGGCGGCGGCGCTGTGTTCACTGAGATGCAATCGGGGGTTCGCTATCAGGTGGTGCGGCCGGGTAGTGGACCCAAACCGACACGTGACCAGCACGTCAAGATCGACGTCATCGAGTGGCGTGACGACTTCGAGGGACAAGTGGTGGTTCGTGTGTCTGATCAACCTGAGTGGACCCAGGAGGTCCTCACTGACATGCGTGTGGGTGAGGTGCGGCGGGTCACCCTGCCAGCCAGACTGAGTGACACTGGAAAGGAGGCTTACCTCGAGTATAGGCTGGTGGCCACCCTGTGAGCACTGTCTCCTGGTGTGTCTGCTGTGTGAGTTGGGTGTCATTACGGCACAAATGCGTTATTGCATGGCCACCTGCTGCGGAACGTACGGTGGTTCCTGGTGTCATTCTCGTGAGGTGCAGGGGTGTCTGCTTTATTGCATGGACGCGTGCATCAGTGTGCTTGATGTGCCGGCAGTTATGGTAGAGTTTCTCATGGCCTTCTCTCAACGGTGTGTTCTGATACTCGATGCAATTTTCTGAGTGCATTGGGTCTCACGACGCTATAGGGACTCTGTGAGCCTGGTGTTTCTATTCTATCACAATCAACCGATCGGCGTCCGACCTGCCACCCAGCCACACTCCACTCTGAAGAACTGTCTGACATCCCTACACACACCGGTCCATCCATCGCCTACATCTGCACACAAGCATCCAGCAGATGCGCGCAGCATCGCGGAAGTGACAACTGCCAGTCAGTCAACGACATGCAGAGATCAACAGCTACCTGGAAGGCCAGAAAGAACGACCTACATCGATGGATACATTCACCCGACAGCACCATTCCCTTTGCCCGCCCTCGAGCTCCTCTGTTGCCAAATCGATCGATCGGTGAGTCAGTCAGGCACATTCACTGAGATCGATGCCCTCACTCTCACTCACAGAATCGCCAGCAACCTATACTCACGGTACGACGTCGCGTGTCTCCCCTCCGCCGGGACAATGACCCGCCGCACCTCGCCCACACGCATGTCCGTCCACATCGCCTGGAGCCACTCAGCCCAGTCAGACATGCGATAATCCCGCCCACGGGGGCAATAGTACTCGTTGTGTTCGCCGAAGTAGTCACCCCACTCGATCATATCGATCTTGACGGTCTGGTCACGTGTGGGTTTGGGGCCGCTGCCCTCCTTGACAATCTTGTACTGCACTCCAGACGGCAGCTGTGTGAAGCCCACAGGAGTCCTGGCAAAGAAAATATCAGAGAGGGGAGGATGAGCAGCATAGACAAAGTGAGTGCCATGCCACTTGTGCGTGTTTCTCACCCGTCGTCCATGATGCTGATCAGCCGCAGCTCGATATACTTCCCATCTGGCGTGTCTGTCACGATGAGGCGCCTAAGCTCGCCCTCGCGCATCGACAGTATCGCCTCACGGTAAACTTCAGACAAATCCGACACGCGAACCGTCCGCCCACGGCGACTGGTGGTCGTGTACTTGTAGAAGCCATGACTCCACTCGACGTACTCGTACTTGACGTGCTGGGTGAGTGTGGGGTTGGGTCCACTGCCCTCTTTGACGACTTGATGATAGGCGCCAGAGGGATACAGGGTGAAGCCTTCGTGGCTGCTGTCATCATTGGGCGACGTCGTAGCTGCTGCTGGTGGCGGAGGTGGCGGCTGGGTGCTGCTGTCTTGCTGCTGGAGAGCTTGAGGGCCTTGCTCCATGCTGACAGTCGACCTGACAACAAAGGAGGGGCGCCAGGAAGGACAAAGATGAAAGCCATGACCCACAGCGACGCTCACACGCGTGTGTGACTTTGTGTGTGTGTGTGTGTGTGTGTATGTGAGGCACCCGTTGACAATGCAAACGAGCTGCAGCTGTTCGTATCCCTCAATTCTCTTATTATCTGACAGTATGATTTGCCTGACCTCCCCCTCGCGCATCGACAGCAATCCCTCACGGAGCCACCCATTCCCAAAATCAGACAGACGATACTCCAGCCCATAGACCTTGTAGAAATCGTCGTTCGTGTCAAAGCCGTTACTCCACGAAATCCAGTCGTATTTGACGGTGTCGTTGAGTGTTGGCACACTGCCGGTGCCCTGCCGCACGACCTTGGAGAATGCACCAGATGGTTGGCGTACAAAGCCGTCGGAAATGGCGTTGCCGTTACGTGGTGCTGGGTGAGGCAGCTGCCTTTGAGGTGACCTGACGAGCGAGTCAGGCAGAGTACACGGGCAAAGTGACATCCATGTGGCACACGCGCTCGTGCGTGTGTATGTGTGTGTGTATACCCATCGATAATCTTGATCAACCGCAGCTGCGCAAAGCCGTCCTCTACCCCCCTTAGCCCAAGTATTTGCCTCATCTCCCCCTCACGCATCGACAGCAACAGGTCAGCAACGGGCGAGTCCGCCTCCCGGAGATAAGTCTCCCAGCAACGGATATCGACCCAGGTGTCATTGCCGTCGAAGGCATCCCGCCAAACAGTCAAGTGCCACTCGACAGCCTGGCTGAGTGTTGGCGCATGGCCGGTGCCCTCTTGCACCACCTTGTAACGAAGACCAAGAGATGGATGTTCCACGAAGCCATCGTCGGCCGTGTTCTCCCCTTTGCCGGCCGCCGCCCCTTCATCTGCCGCTGGTCTCGCTGCTGAGGTTGGTGCGGGTGCTGGTGGCTGATCGCCTTCCTTATTCTCTTGACCTTTGTCGGTGCCCATAGCCGACCTGAACACCAGCACCAAGTCGGGGATAAAGCACACCTGCCTTGTGTGTCTGTGTGTGTAGGTCACTCACGTGTCGGGTTCGATGCAGAACTTGATGTGCGAGTGGAATGACGGCTTGATGGCCAACCGCTGACCATTGACGTCAAACTCATAACCGCCTTTGCCATCACCATGGACCAACTGACCATCCAACAGCCCAACAGGTTCTCCACTCATGGCGGCAACACACCGCCCTACACACACACACACACACACACACACACTCAGAGTGACGTTCACTTCAGCGAGAGATCTGTATGTGTGTCGGTGTTGGCTGACGTCCTCTGAGTCGGCTGTTCCGGTGGAAGACATCCAGCCGTGATATGAGCTGCATCTGCGGCTGCAGTGGTGCGAGTGGTGGTCGCACAAACCCACAGATAGTCGCCCAGGGCACCAACAGGACGCCAAACAGCCACACGACCATCTCACGACAGTCACGACACACGCCCGATTTGTCGCTTGTTCTCTGCTGTTGATGAATCAAATGCCTCCAGATCGCAGGTGGGAGCTCTTATGGCTGTTCTCCTAGCGCAAACGTCGCTTCTTCAAAGGAAAGCGGCCGATCGGCCTGTGGCTCGCAGCTTCCATGACAAACCGTCGCCATGTGAGCCAAAAGCGACAACGAGCATCTCCCAGGTCAGCTGACATCACGTGCAAAATCTGACTGAGATCTGTCAACACGTTCATGTCTGTGTGTCCCCTCTTCGCGTGTCCTTGATGCAGGTCTGCTGTAGGATGTCGTCGTCTGTTGAGCAGCCGGCCGGGCCGACGGGCGGTCGGTCTGTTTTTTGCATGCCAGTGCATAAGGATCTCTCTGTATGTTTGTCGGTGAGTGTGGGTGTGGCCAATGGCAATGGCGCCACAGTGCTGCGGCGTCAGGAGGTCTCATCGCCAACCACAGCAAGTGGCCAGGGCGGTGGCGCTGATGTGTTCTTTCGGTTGCCGTCGGGTGTGTTCTATCAAGTGGTGCGGCAGGGCAGTGGGCCCAAACCCACACGTGATCAGACCGTCAAGTACGACCTCATCGAGTGGCGTGACGACTTCGATGGACAGCGCAAGAAATATGATCTCGGTGGGCTGGAGGGTCGTGTGTCTTGGCAACAGGAGTGGCTCCAGGAGGTCTTCACTGACATGCGTGTGGGTGAGGTGCGGCGGGTCCTCGTGCCGTTCAACAGACTGAGCTCTCGTGGAACTCTCAGTTTGGTGAGATATATCCAGTACAGTCTGGTGGCCATCCTGTGATCGCCGTCTCCTGGTGTGTCTGCTATGTGTGCGTCTGTGGCGGTGAGGCGCCATCCAGCTGACGTTTTTTGTTTCTATAGCTGCTGTGTTGGTGTGGGGAATTTCGGTCGTTCTTTCTGGACTTTCCCCTCTGTCGATGATCGCTCTTTATGGGAGTGTATGCCTCGTGTGTGTCTGCACGACGGGCGCATTCCACGACCGACGATGTGACGACTTTTTTTTTCCTGTCGCCCGTGCATGTGCAGTTCTGTGTTGGCGCTGTATGACACATGTGTTCTCACAGAGATGCTCTGACTCCTTCCTGTGACTCCATCCTTATATGTCAAATCAACTTGTCGGTGTGCTGTTTTTGATGGTTGAAGTGTGGCACCCAGATGAAAGCAACACTTCTGACATCGGCGTGGCCTGAGATGACGTGTATGCAGGCGGCCAGTGGGAGTGACGGACCCGACACACATAGGCATGGATTGACAAGAATGGACGCATGTCGTTTCCGGCCGTCAGTCATACACACTCAGTGATAGACAGCCACCACGCTTTGTCCATCCATCCATCAATCAACAGCTAGATCCGATCGGCTGTGTGTCCCTCATCCCACCGCAGCCACCAACACTCCAACCAACAGCCGAGGAGCTGGCTGTCGATATCTACGACTACCTAAAGACACACACACACACGCAGAAGCCGACCAGGTCAGTACGCACATGTGCCCTTTCTGTCTGCCACGCCAATTCCACTCCTTACCTGTTGTGTGTCTATCAAGTGCGTCTGGCGACGGTGATGGCGTCGTACCGCATGGTGATGGTGTTCGGTGCGCCGAGCAGGTTGAGCGCCGCCAGCTGCGTGTTGAAGAGCCGCCGCACGCCCTCGCGCACACGCTGGTTCCAAAGGGAAGCGGACGCCTTGCGCACGCCGGCCCTGCTGATGACGCCACCGAGCGACGCCATCAGCGAGCCGTTGAACACCTCCTCCGTCGCACCAGCTGGCAAGCTGCCTGCATAGCCAGACCAACACAGACAGCCAAATGTGACGCGCGGGATTCCTCAGTCGGTCTGCCGATTCCACTCCTTCTTACCGTACACATCGAGATGCACGTCGTCAATGGCCGGCAGGTCGTGGCTCGCCCACTCCTGCAGCGGCCGGCTGCCATCTAAGATGCCACCCGCCGACACCTTGATGTTCACCGACAGGCACATTTCCCCCTCGCTGCTACTACTACCGCCCCCTCGCCGCCCCCCTGTCCCTCCCCTGTGGCCATGTGCCTCTTGAGTGCACTCAGGTACACCACAGCATTGTTTGCCGCGTTAAGGTGCGTCCCTGTGTCCACGAATTGGATGGTGCGGCACTGCGGCATGCTGTTGGCGACCGTCCTGGCCAGGCCGTCGACCACCTCTGCCGACAGCTGCCGTGGCGGGCACCGGAAAATTGTGGCGCTGGGGAAATATGTGCTGTCTGCGGCGGCGTTGAGGTCGGTCAGCTCATTCTCGTACACCACTACATCGGCGAGATCGGCAAACTCACGAACGAGCTTCTGCACCTGCACAGAGACGACATTGGGGACAACGATTGCGTTGTGATTGGATGAATGTGCAGCCATCTATGGTGTGTTTGGTACCCGAGAGCTTTCATCGGCCATCCACTCGATGAGCTCCAGCTCCATCTCGCCCTCGCATTCTATCTTGAACTGCGGCTTGTCGAGGGCTTGTGGCTGCAGCACTGCCTCCGATAGCCGTGCCAACTCACGCAACACCCCCTTGTGCTCGGCCGTGATCTTCCCCTTGACCGCGATGGGCAGCTCGCGGAGGGACTTGCGGCACCCCCGCTTCAAAAGGGCCTCCCGCATGCTGGCCAGCACATCCCGCATGGCATCGGCATTCCCCTCATACAAATCCCATCCATGTTTGCCGAGGGTGCCGATGGACTGCAGGCGGGCGAGGGAAGTGCCGGGGGGCGGCACGGACAGCAGCTGCACCTTGTCGACGGTCGACGAACTGCCATCGTCGAATACCTCCAGATGCTCGCATTACGTCATCCATTCCTTCGCCGCCTCCACTTCATCATCACCCTCGTCCCACTCGAATGTCATGACCCGCACTGATGGCGTGTGCCACACGCGATTGCCCGTGCGCACGGCCGCACAGGCATGAGGCATGGAGTGGACCTCCTCGAGGGCAGACAGGTCGACGGGAGAGGGGCAGGGGGGCAGGGGGTCGGCAGAGACGTCGCTGCCCTCAAGATACAGCTCTCCGTCGCTGTCTTTCTCGAAGCTGAGGACCTTGATGGATGAGGCGGCGGATGGGCCGTCCTGCCTTGACGCCACCGCTGCTGCTGCCGAGGTTCCGCCCTCGCCCTGCCCCTCCTCCCTCCTCCCCCTCGTGGCCTTCCTGGCCGACCGCATTGCCCTCGAGGATCGCCACCCAAATCCCACGACACCAGTAGCTGGCCTCCCAGCACGCGTAGATGACGTGCAGGTGGGTGAGGTTGGCGGCCCGCTGGCCCCACCGGTATGCCACCTCCAGCGGCAGCCGCTCCCACAGTCGACGCACGCCGCCCTTGTCTGACCCGTCGATGGTCAGGTGGGTGTACTGCTGGGCCGCCCAGCCGACGAGGGTCTTGCCGATCGTGGGGGCGACGCGGGCCAGCTCCCATGGCTGGTAGAAGCCGAACACACCCGCCAGCTCATCGCGGGAGAGGCGAAAACGGGCCTGAACACACATTCCAGTGCACAGATGTGCTTGAGTTGCACGTGTGCTCCTCTCACCGGTCCATTGTTTGGCGGCGGTCTCCCCGATTTGCAGACCAGGCGAAACGACAGCACCTTCCCCTCTACCACACTACTCTGCACCGGCCAGCAACACACGCACAACACACAAATGCCACACACCGCCTTGCACTCATTCCTCTTCAGTCCTCCATACCTCGGCATTGGGAGCCGCTTCAGATGACGCTTCGGCCGCAGCAGGGGCGACAGCGGAGGACGCAGCGATGTCATTCGGTGGCTGATGGGGGAATGACGCCGCTGCTCTGGTGAGGGCATCCATCGTCCCACGCACAGAGGACTCGGCAACTGAGGCGTGAGTCGATGCAGCCGAGAGCGACAGAAGCGTCGCCAACACGTCCGCAGGACCATTGCCGTCCCGTTGAAACTCGTCGCTGAGCAGCTGGATCTCCCGCTGCAGTTGCTGAAGGCCCTCGCGCCACACACGAGCGTCGGCGCACAACTGTGCAAACCACACACCATAACGCCGATATTTTAGAGCTGTTTGCCCTCGCCGGTCATCTTCCGCCCCGTTGGTGCCCTCTCACCTTGCTAATCATAGTGCCAGATGCTGAGGTCTGGCCCGACGGATCATCCTCCTCCGAGCCATCCATCATGGCGACACACTATCGCTCGTCAGAAACCGCCCGTGCGACCCTCGCATGACGTGTGGCCGACACAAAATACCACCAACAAGGCCACACGCAGCTCATTTGGCAACTCCTTTCCTGGTCGTATTTAAGCTCGCAAAGGGGAAGCGGATTGAACCTATGGATACAAGCTAATTTGGCCTGCGACCTTGATGCCCTGTGGTATGCCGACCAGTACATGGCCACAACATGACTCACAACGCGGCGAAAGCGTCTCAATATCGTCATTTACGATATCACTGTGGCGTTACGTACGTAGTGGGGATGCGGAAGGCGCAGGCGTGCAGCTGCCTCGGCTGTCCTCTGCATGACAGCCACGGTGACAATGGTTTTTGAGGGCCTTTCCTCTCTGGCCTGCCTCATCTCTGTCGCCTCTGCCGCCTTCGGCGACCTCAGCTATGGCGTCCCAGCCTCACGGGGGCGATTCAGTCTCTCATTCAGCCACCACACCACCACTGAGGTCCCCGACAGCGATGAGAGGGAGAGCACCTACGTCAGCACCGCATTTTCGCTCTCTCCGGGTGACGTCCTCAACACCGATCCCTTCGACGTCCCCGTCGAGATGCCTTACAATGAACCGATGGCGATAAGAGGCCTGTGGGGGGAGATTGTGGACGACAGGAATGTCAGCGTGCCACTCGACGAGGTATGCTCATCAATGAAGGCGGTCTCCATGGATTTGTGTGTGTGTGAGTTAAAAGGTGTACGTGCATCATTGGTTTCTGTTCTACACGACGCCTGACGCCGGCAACGAGCTGGTGGGGAAGCTGGGCACAGGCGCAGAGACCAGAGGTCACTGACTGACTGACTGACGGACGGACGGATGGATGGATGGACGTGAAGGCACATTCGTGTGTGCTCCCATGTCTGGCTGCAGGCACTCCGATAGTATCTCTCACCGCTCCCTATGCCTTCACGACGACAGGCAAGGAGAAGTGGTGGCTCAACGTGCACCTGCTGATGCTGCAAAACGTCACCAACGTGTCGGCGTGCATTCAGGTAAGACACACATGGCATCAATGGGACCCCTGCAGGCCTTTGCGTGCGACATGTCGGGATATATGTGTGTGTATCTTTCAGTGCCTGTGCCCTCCCGATGGCCGACATGGGTCTTTCAACTGCTGCCCAGATGGGGTGAGTCTCCTGTGCTCACGGGTGTGTGCACTCTCACCACTTGGCCTCTCTGTGTGCATCCCACAGGCCCACTGGCACACGACATTCGACCCCTTCGTGACCTCCGACGGCACAGATGCCTTCGATGACCCCCACCAGTGCGCCAACTGCAACAGCGACCCAGATGACGTCTTCGGTCCGCCCATCCAGAGCGGTTTTCTTGCCCGCCCCGCCCCCAAGTACTACCGAGTCAAGTACACGGTGCGGTATGCCCATGTCAGCCCCATTGTGCGGCCGGTCCGCGCCAACATGATCATCGATGCCGTCGGCGGACGGCATGAGTGGAATGTCTTCCCTGCAGAGGGATGCCTGAAGCCATCAGCCAGCCATCTTGCGGTTGCCATCAAGGAACGGCGGCTGGGCGACAGTGGCCATGATGATATTGCCGAGAGGTGTGTCGACACCAAGACGGCCACTGTGGTGGTGGATGAGGACTTCCAGCTCATCGGCATGCGCGCCCATATGCACATCGGGGCCATCGACGCGGTCCTTGCCGGCATCAGCAGCAACAGCAGCGACACAGATGACGGTAGTGGGATCGATTGGCGCTGCGACATGCGGGCCATCTACGGCCGCACGCCCCACACGGCTGGCGACCTCAGGGGCGACCTTCCTCTCTCCCTCCCTCCCTCCCTCACACCCCCAGTCACCGTTTCTCTCTCTCTATCTCTCTCTCTCTGTGTGTGTGTGTGTGTCATGACTACTTCAGGTCAGAGACGGCGAGCAGAGGATGCAGAAGCATCCTGAGGAGGACGCCGAGGAGATCAAGGCTAAGCACAAGGAGATCGAAGAGATCTGCAACCCCATCATCTCGGCCGTCTACGGCGCCGCGGGCGGCGCGGGCGGCCCCACCGGCGAGGAGGACTACAAGGCACACGACGAACTCTAGACACAGACAGAGAGACAGACAGACAGACAGACGGATGGATCGACCGACGGACCTGGATAGATAGATGGTAGCTTCCGTCCTCCCGTCGTAGCTCCTCCCTCCCTCCATCCATCCATCCATCGACCGATCGCTAAGCCTGCATGTGTGGGTCGACGTCAAAGCACTCACTCCAATGCACACGCAAATGCAGCACCGTCGACGTCGAAGTGCTCGCAGTGCAGTGCTGGACTTCTGCTTTCTTTTCGGATGGATGGATGGATGGATGAGTGCTATCGCTCTCTTTGTCCGTGTGTGTGTGTGTGTGTGTGCGGGCGTGTTGGTGGTTGCCTTCCACGGCAGCATTTTTGCTTATAGGGGGTGGATGGGGGTGGGGCGGGTTGGAGCGGACTGAGTGCATGTCTGCCTGCATGATGGATGGACCGGCGAACATCTCTCTGTCTGCCGTTTTCCCGCACACAGACAGAGACGCAGTGAGTGGACGGATGAGATGAATTAGCTGCCTCCCTGCCTGCCTGCCTGCCTGCCTGGGTGTCTGTCTGCCTGCGTGGTGTCTGTGACACACACATAATCCAATACGTACGGTCTGACTAGTGAGTGTCGGCTTTATCTCTGTGAATACCCCTACTCCCTTTCTGACTCGCTTTGAACATCTACTCACTGTCTGTCTGTCTAGCTTCCCTTCCCCCCTCCTATCCTATCCGCTGCCCCTCTCTCTCTCTCCCCGTTTTGTTGCCACTGCCTCCCTGTCTCATTGTCCCGCACGCCAGTCGCACGCCTCCTCAGATCTGCCTTTCCTGTTCTCAGTGCCTGCTGGGCAGGGCAGGTAAGCGTGTGGAGTGTCATCTGCTCCGATGGCTCGTCACTCGCTTGCCGCCGCGAGGGAATGAGAGCAGACAGACGGGTGTCGCAATCGGCCCGGTCTGGTTTATTGCTGATGCCTACTCGGCCTCTGTGTGTGGCTATCGACACCGGTCCATGCAGGCCCGTGTATTCTGCGTGCGTCGCACTTCGTGTACATCTACAGAACAGAGACCACGAATCAATGCGCAGATGCATCGATTCAGTCACGCGTGACTGGCAGGGTGGCAGCCCATGCGTATGAGATGGCTGCGGGATTGTAGACCAGGCCCAATCCTGAGCGGACACGCAGAGACGCACGCACACACACATAAGCACACGGAGCCTCTCTGTCTGTCTGTCTGTCTGTCCGTCCGTCTGAATGGGTGGTGTATTACCCCTTTTCTCAGCGAGCTCTGCAGCCATCAGGTCTACACACACAACACACGCACACACGTACACACAATGCGACATTGTCAGACACGCTCAGACACACAGACAGATGGTGTTCTTACAAAGGTTTGCCATGCCCCTTTTCAAAGCCGGCAGGTCTTCACGTAAGAACACCTCCGCTTCTTCCCTGCTGACACCAGCAGAAGACAGCCTGCAGCAAGCAAGCAAGCACAGAAACCACGAGGCACACACACATAACTAGACGCACTCTCTCGCACGCACGCACGCACACAATTCATTGGCAGTCACGTAGGCTACAACCCACCTTTCTTTCGGCAATCCTTTCTTCTTCAAGCGATTCTCGTCGTCAAGTAGTGCCAGAAACATGTTCTCCCCGTCAGTCACCCACTGGCGGAGCTCATCATCGGACGGCGGTGGGCTTTTCTTCCCAGCCATCCGGCCCTGCCACACGCACAAACAAACTGGTTGAGATATAGGTCAGTTTGCGCGTTGCCTCCCTTTCCCCACTCACCGCAGCCACCATCATCGCATCGAACCACCCGTCTTTGCCCAACGCTGGGATGGCGCGAGTGACCATGGTGAGGGGATGACGCACCACCCGGACCGGGTCAGCGGTGGGCAGACGTCCTTCTCTGGGCTTGCAGGTGATGCCATTGCCCCTGTTGGCGAAGCTGCTCGTGCACGGGGGATGACGGATGAGGAACGACAACGGCGTGCCCGTCGGGGAAGCAGATGACGCCGCTGTCGCTAGGCAGATGGCGGCAGCGACCGCATATATCATCCACAAAGATGGAAAAGCGGTCTAGGCGGATGCAGGTCTTTCTCTCCTTTGACGTAAAAGCGCGCAGCCCTTCATCCCTCTATGAAGTGCCAAGCTGTGCAGCCCTTGCACACTAGAGAGGAAAGCGATGAGTCATTACATTACGCCTCAGATCAGGGTTCCCACTCGCTTCCGTTTTTGCCCTCCTGCAGGGTTTGAAACCCTTAACCCGTAACCCTAGCACCCCGTCGCCCACTGGGTCGTGGTGAGCGACAAGCGCAGAAAGAATCACGAATGACGTGCATGCGTCAGAACATCCACCTCTGAGCTTGCCGGTCTTCAGCTCGTTGGGGAAAAAACAGGTCCCTCAAAACCCTGCCTGCGAAGAACAGGAATATGACTTCGGCCTCGTGAGGGCATCAGGTGTGCAACGACAATGGGACCAGACTCAAACCTACTCATGGTGCCTGCTCGGTTGTGTGTGGTTGTCAGGCATCGCTGACAGATCTGCTGCGCCGCAACAAACGATGGAGGCCGAGTTGTCCGCTCGCCAGTTCAGCGCCCAGGCGATTCTCAATCAGCTGCACGTGCCCGTGACGGCCATCGGCGACGCCATAAGCCAACTGCATGCCCAGATCCGCCAAGCAGACGACGCCGCCCAGCGAGAGAGGCAGACGCACGGCGCCTCGGACCCATCAGCAGCGTCGCCCGATGACGTGCTGCTGCTCAATGTGGGCGGCAGCGAGTGGCGAGTGAAGCGGCAGCACATGACTCAAGGAGAAGGCGTGGAGGGGACTCTGTTGGCGGCGCTGTTCTCGGGCTGCTGGGACAACCGATTCATCAAGGACGACAAACAGCGGGCGTTCATCGACATCTACCCGGAGGCCTTCAAGACCATCCACACGGCCATATTGGATACCGCCACCCTCCTCCAGGCGGGCAAGGCGGCGTCGATTGTCACGCTGCTCGACGAGGCATCCCAGCGGAACTACACCGGTAAGGGGCATGAAGGCGACAGCGCACTCATCCTGTCCTCTCACTCTGTCTCTGGCTGGCCGTGGTGTAGGTCGTCATGGCTTCTGGATCAAGTTGCTGCTGTCGCCACTGGACAAGGCGGTCTCAGCGGCCCCTCCCAGTGGCGTCACTGAGCCGCGCCTGTCCGCCACGGACAGCCCTGCCGTGATGGGCGACGCCGTCAAGACGCTCGAGGCCATCATGAAGACATTCACCAAGGAGAAGGCCCGGCTGGAGGGCCAGCTGCGGGCGGCACAAGAGCGACGTGACAACCTCGACAAAGAGATACAGGTGACCCACACAGACAGAGCCAGGGGATGTGGATCGGTGCTGTGTGTGGTTCACAGGCGGTGAGTCCCTTTCTGCTGCCTCTGAGTGGCGGTGACCCCATCCGGTCAGTCGACGTGTGCGGCCAGGTCATATCGACCACTCAGTCGACTGTCGATGAGATGAGCGACGAGCTGCGGAATCGATTCGACCTGTGAGCATCGACCCATGCACCGAAGCACACAGTGACAGCGATGCCCTATCGAGGATGGCTGTGTGTGTCTTTAGGTGGCCGCGGCCGGTTGAGGTGGTGCAGCCCGACCACATCAGCCGTATGGTCGATCACTACCGCCGCAGACGTCTCGGCGCGTCGGCCGCCGACATGGCTCCGGTGCTGAGGATGGACAAGACTACCAAGCAGAATGCCTTCGATGTCAACGCAGCCGTGTACGGCGTCATCAGGAAACGCAGATGGAGAGCCGCGCAGGAAGGCTGACCTCGCCGTCTCTCTGTCTATGTTTTTCCCTTTGCAGTGCTGACTTCACTGTGATGCCATCTGGTGCTCGGTATCGCATCGTCACGGAGGGCACCGGCAGAGTGCCCACACTCAACGACACCGTCAAGTTCTACGAGATCTGGTGGCGTGATCGATTCGACGGCCGGGACAAACGCTACGACCTCCGTGGGGCGGTGTATCGTGTGTCTGATCTGTATGGGTGGGAGCGCGAGGCGTTGCTGTCGATGCGGGAGGGCGAGGTGAGGCAAATCATCCCGCCACCCGGGTTTGTCCGCTACGTTGAGCTGCGTTTGGTCAGCATAGAGTAGGAGAGAGTCCACACACACGCATGTGGGGGCGGCTGTGTGTCACACACTCATGTGTGTGGCCGGGGGCTCTTCCCTTATTGCCTGGCTGACTGTGTGCCTCGGGTGTCTGTCTGTCATTGGCCACTCACAGCACTTGTGGGTGTCACGTCTGCTGCTCGGCCGTGGGTTTATTCCTGTCTGCCGTGCTGCAAAGAGAAGAGCCCTTTTCTCTCCTCTCTCCCCCTCTCTCTCTCTCTCTCTCTCTGCGTGTGTGTGTGTGTGTGTGGCTGCTTTTATTCAACTCGAATGCATGGCTGTCTGATCCGATGCAGTCTTGCTGAAGGGCGTGGGCGGGTTCTTTGTGTGCGTGGTGTATATGAGTGGGTGTGCGTGGGGTGAGGGAAGGGACACTTCACGTCGAGGTCAGGTTCTTGGCGATTTAATGAGTGCCACACACCACATTTTTCGGTGAGGGTGAGGTGCGGCGGGTCATCCTGCCTACAGTGGAAAGAAGATATGTCGAGTATAGGCTGGTGTCCATCCTGTGAGCTCTCTGCTCGTGGGTGTGGCGACAGTGCGTGTGTGGGAGGTGGTGAGTGCTGTCTGCCTTCATTCATTCATTCAGGCCACCTATGCGTTTATGTATTGTGGCCATCGATGTGACATGTCGTTCTCGTGTGTGTCTATGTATTGTGTTTCACACTGACGTGATGACTCGGTGGGTCTAATGTTTGTGCTTATCATAACGGACAAATTGGCTCGTTGTCACATACGTCACAATCAACCCATCGCCGTCCGACCCGCCACCCAGCCACACTCCACGCTGAAGAACTGTCTGACACCCCTACACACACCGGTCCATCCATCGCCTACATCTGCACACAAGCATCAGATATACGCGCACAATTGCGAAAGTGACAGTAGCCAGTCAGTCGACGGCACGCAGAGGTCAGTAAAGATAAGACAGCTAACCGGAAGGCCAGAACAACCTACAGACGCTCCTGCATCCATCCTTGCATTCACCCATCAGCGTCACTCCCTTTGCCCGCCCTCGGGCTCCTCTGCTGCCCGATAAATCGACGAGTCAGTCAGGCACATTCACTGAGATCGATGCCTTCCATCTCACACTCAATCTCACTCTCTCAGAACCGCCAGCAGCCTGCACTCCGGAACCGGGCCTTCCTTCTATCGTAGCTCAATCTGGCCGGGACAATGACCCGCCGCACCTCACCCACACGCATGTCAGTGAGGGTCTCCTGCCACCACTCAGCACAGTCAGACCCACGCCACTCCACCCCACGCTCCTCGACTATCTTCTCTTGTCCGTAGAAGTCGTCACGCCAGTCGATGTAGTCGACCTTGACCCACTGGTCACGTGTCGGTTTGGGTCCATTGCCCGCCGGCGGCCGCACCACTTGGTGATAGGCGCCAGAGGGGTACAGAGTGGATCCTTCGTGGCTGCTGTCGTTATTGGGCGCCATCGTAGCTGGTGGTGGTGGTGGTGGTGGGCCGAAGCCCACAGGAATCCTGGCAAAGACAATACCAAAGAGCACCGCCCACACATAAAGTGAATGCTGTGAGGCACATCGACGTCCGCAAGTGTCAATGCCCCGACTCATATGATGTCCAATAGCCGCATCTCGATGTAGGCATCCTTGCCAGTGGTGCTAAAGGATGCCGGCAGGATGACCCGCCGCACCTCGCCAACACGCATGTCAGTCCACATCTCCTGGAGCCACTCACGTACATCAGACAGACCGAACTCCAGCCCACTGCCCTCCCCTCTCTTGTCCTGGCCGTCAAAGTCGTCAGACCACTCGATAATGTCGGCCTTTATCCGCTGATCACGGGTCGGTGTGGGACCGCTGCCCTCCTGCACCACCCAAGACAACACGCCCGTCGACCGCCTCCTGCTGCCATCGCTGGCCGCCGCTTCTTCTCTTGCTAGTGCTGGCGGTGCTGCTGCTGCTGCTGCTGACGGTGGTGGTGGTGGTGGTGGCCGCTCGGAACCGACAGAACTCCTGACAAGAAAATACCAAAGAGCAATGCGCACATATGAATGAGCCCCGTGGCGCACACCAATCCTCACACGTGTGTGAATGTGCCCGACTCACCGGATGTCCACCAGCCTGTACTCGAGATATCTCTCCTTAAAGTTTCCGTTGCCTGGCACGAATACGCGCCGCACCTCACCCACACGCATGTCAGTGAGGACCTCCTGCTCCCACTCAGCCCAGTAAGACACACGACCCACCACCCCACCGAGATCATATTCCTTGTCTTGTCCGTCGAAGTTATCACGCCACTCGATGATGTCGACCGTGACATTCTGTTCATACGTCGGTTCAGGCCCACTGCCCTCCTTGACCACTTGATAGTAGGCGCCAGACGGCATCCGTGTGAAGCCGGCGGGAGTGCTGGTAAAGACAACACCAAAGAGCACCGCCCACACATAAAGTGGATGCCGTGAGGCACGTGTGAATGTACCCCGACTCACAGGATGTCCAAAAGCCGCAACTCGTTGTAAGCATCCTTGTCAGTGGTGCTAAATGGCGTCGGGACGATGACCCGCCGCACCTCACCAACACGCATGTCAGTGAGCACCTCGTGTTGCCACAGACCTCGAGCACACGGACGATCCACCTCCCCCCGCCTCACGCACACGTTGTCTCCGTCGAAGTCGTCAGCCCACTGGATCCAGTCGAACTTGACGCGTTGGTCACCTGTCGGTTTTGGCCCACTGCCCGGCTGCACCACTTCAATCAGATAGTACGCGCCAGACGGCATCTGTCTGAAGCTCACAGGAGTCCTGGCAAAGAAAACACCAAAGAGGAGAGGATGAGCAACACCCACATGCACACCATGTGAGTGCCGTGCCACTTGTGCGTGTCTCTCACTCCTCGTCCATAATGCCGATCAACCGCAGCTGACGGTACCAGCCTCTATAGCCGTCTGGCACTTTGATTTGCCTGATCTCCCCCTCCCTCATTGACAGCACCGCCTCACGCCACCAATCACGCTCATCAGACACACGAGCGACCACCCCACGGTGATCGTAGTAAATGAACTGGCCGTCGAATCCATCACGCCACTCGATGACGTCGTACTTGACGCGGTCGTTGGCCGTGGGCGCTCTGCCGCTGCCCTGTCGCACCACCTTGTGAAGTGCGCCAGACGGGCGCTGAACGAAGCCATCGTCGGCCGTGTTGTCGTCTTTGCCGGCCGCCGCCCCTTCATCTGCCGCTGGTCTCGCTGCTGGGGTTGGTGCGGGTGCTGGTGGCTGATCGCCTTCCTTATTCTCTTGGCCTTGGTCGATGTCGACAGCCGATCTGACCACCAGCACCAAGTCGGGGATAAAGCACACCTGTCTGTGTCTGCTTGTTCAGGTCGCTCACTTGTCGTGTTCGATGCAGAACTTGATGTGCGAGTAGAATGACGGCTTGATGGCCAACCGCTGGCCATTGACCTCGAACTCATAGCCGCCTTTGACATTCCCATAGACAAAGTGACCATCCAACAGCCCAACAGGTTCTCCACTCATGACGGCAACACACCGCCCTGCACAGACACACAGACACAGACACACACAGACACAAACAGTCAGAGTGACGTTCACTTCAGCGTGAGATCTGCATGTGTGTCGGTGTTGGCTGACGTCCTCTGAGTTCGCTGATGCGTTGGAATAGATTCAGCCGTGATGTGAGCTGGATTTGCGACCTCAGTGGTGTGAGTGGTGGTCGCACAAACCCATCGACAGCCGCCCAGGGCACCATGAGGACGGCAAACAGCCACACGACCATCGTGACAGTCACGACACACGCCCGATTTGTCGCTTGTTCTCTGCTGTTGATGAATCAAATGCCTCCAGATCGCAGGTGGGAGCTCTTATGGCTGTTCTCCTAGCGGAACGTCGCTTCTACAGAAGGAAAGCACGCGATCGGCCTGTGGCTCGGAGTCTTCCGTGCGTGAACCGCTCTCCCGTCGGTGAGCCGGAGCACCTCGTAGGTCAACTGATCTCACGGTGAGGCACACTTGCAGATCTTCACTAGAATGAATGATTCATCACTGTCCTCTTTTGTGCGTACGCGTAGCTGTGTGTGGAGCATTCGCCCGACCCATGGCGGTGATTGTCTCTCACCCGTCACTGCAGCAGAGCTTTGTGCTGTTTCTGGTGGGGCCTCCACCTCCCCAATATCTTCGCCGAGGCTGAATGATCTGACGCGAGTTACCGGACGCGCAACCTCTCAGCAGCACCCGGTGGGTGGCACTGAATGATGGGTCGATCTGAACGGACGCTGAGCTGCTTTTTGGTATGTGCAATCAATCAGATGTGGCGCATTGGCAATGGCTGGCACCGGATGATAAATGCATCGAAGGAGGAGGAGGGTGGAGTGAGTGAGTGAGTGTATTGGTTACTGCTTCTAGTGGGGCGTCGGAACACATGCATACCAGGCAGAGAGCGGTGTGTGTGTGTGCGTGCATGCGTGTGTGTGTCATGATGTTTTGTGACAACCTCGACAAATCATCGCACAGACTCGCAAGCAGACACAGATGCTGTCCGTAAAATCGATTCGTTCACGCAATGGGTCTGCACATATCAATGTCCGCACCACACACAGTGACAGAAAGCTGCCAAGAGAGAGAGAGAGAGAGGGAGGCAGGCCAGACACTCACAAATAGCGTCATCAGTGACCTAGTCAGCGGCGAGCACCCCAAAGTGACAAATGAATACCCTCCTATCTCTCCGCCCACCCCGTCGTACGACTGTCTGTCTGTGTGTGGGCACCGCAGCCGCACATCGGCACCCGCCCTCCACGGCAGCAGCATATCCACACACATCACCACTGCAGTAAGGGGCGTGCGGCATCCATCAACCAAGCCACACAAGGCCGCCCAACTCGTGCCATGACACCATGCACAAAAACGCCAAGGCAGAACGCCACAAGACAAGAAAAGACAAGACAAGACAAGACAAGACAAGACAGGACAGAACCGCAGCGAGTTATGTGTGAGTATATATAATGATTTTGTACAAGTAAGTATATCGGATGTCACCGCAGTGATACAGACAGACAGACAGACAGACAGACGGCCTAGCTATTATGCACATACAGGTATGTATGCTGGTGTGTGTGTCTGTAGAGAGGGTGCCCCTCGCCCCGTCCATGAGCCCACCGGCCCATCATCCCCGGCTGTTCAATGTGCGTGTGTGTTCCATGTGGATGAGTCGGATCTCGACGTACCGCTTGGTCTTGCCCAGCCGATGCACACTCGGAGGCACTATCATCCTGCACACAGCAGCACACACACAATACATACATCAACACGCACCACCAACCTTAGCCACCCACCGACCTGCGTATCTCTCCGACCCGCATGCTGAGGACGGCCTCCCGCTCCCAGGGGAAATACAGGTCACTCACCACCACAGACCAGCCCTACACATAATTGGTTGATAGCCACACACACACACAGACGCACACACCCATAAGTGATGCCATACTCAATCCTCGCCCATCTGTGTGTGTGCGGACATGCCTTCTTGTGGACCATCTTGTTGCCCTCGAAGTAGTCGTACCTGCACACACAGACAGAGACCACACACGTACGTCTACCCAACATGGGCACACACACGCACGAGCTGACCAGACGGTGTAGTCGATCTTGACGGTTTGGTTGAGGTAGAGAGGGAAGGTCCCCTTGCCCATTTGCACTATCTGGAAGCGCACACCCAACACAGATGTCTGCGGCTGAGCGATGAAGGCCAAATCGTTCTGGTGAGCCGAGGGCAGCTCGTCGGGGATCGACGCCGATAGGCTTGTGGGTGTGCTGGCGCTGCTGCTGCTGCTGGCGCTGGGCACACCCACATTGCTGAATCAGACAGACAGACAGACAGACAGACAGATCCTCACAACACATGGATGGCTGCATGCGGTGTGTTTGTGGGCACTTCTTGTGCACTGTGTTGTTGGCGATCTCAATGCCGTCGGGGCACATTATCTGCTTGACATGCTCCTGCCGAATGTGCCGCCGCTGCCCGGCGGCCACGTAGTAGAAACCGCCGTGTGCGTCAACGAAGGCCTCACGGCCGAAGAACAGACCCACAAACGCCTCTTTGTCTTCCATCGCCTTCGCAAGACCATTCCACCACACACACAGCGCACTCCGTGATGCTATGAATGGTGCATCCTGGGATGAGCTCTTTTCGTCGTTTTCTCACTTGAGGCGGTGTTGTGGGTCTTCTGTCGTCAAATAACAGCACAGATCTTCGTAAAGGCCAGATCTGCGAGCTCAGGAGAGCTGGCATCTGCGAGCTTGGATGTGGGAGCAGTAAAGAGAGTCAAAGAGGTCAGTAGGCCGTCAAGGAAGGCGTCAGAGTCACCAGGCAGGCACAGATCTGGAGTCGGATGTCATGCATGTTGCCGTTCTGGTGTGCTGGTGTTGTGCAGTTTCGTCGAGCGCTGGTAGCTGTAGAGGCGGCCTTTGTGGTTCGAAGCAGACGCCTTCTTGACAGATCACGCGCTGCCACACGCAGAGGTGAACAGAAAAGGCACACGGGGGCTGCAGCACTCTGTTTGCACGGGGGAGATGCGAATTGATTGTTCGTTTGACCGGTGGCTTTGCAGGCTGGAGTGTCGTCGTGGTGTCGCGAGGCAGTCAAACAGGTGAACAGCGCTCAAGTGAATGAGTGAATGCAAAGAGGTCGAGCTGTTTGTATGTGGGCTGGCGTGACGGCTGCAGGGTTGGTTGAGGTCTGATCGATTTGACTCGTGCGCTCGCCAATGATGGATGGCACCGAAGCCGTAAGCAAAGACACATCGCATCAACATGATCACTTCACCCAATGAGCCTGTCTTCCGACACGTACACATGCTGTGTGCAGGCTGCTGCTGCTGCTGCTGCTCTTGTCACTATCGACGTGTCAGGTGACTGCACACGTGATGGGTGACCGACTGCATGAATGTAAGATTTCTTGTTTGCAGGCACGGACGAGTGGCCTTCAGGCGTGGAGCGCGTTCAGGGGACCGTCATCGACACGGAGCGGACCTGGCCGCAGCTCAAAAAGGCCATTGCCAACAAGGGAGCAGTCGGCGAAGCACCACCTGGCCTTCTCGAGGACAAATACTACGATGGGAAAGACTACTTGTGTCTGAGCCTCCCAGTCAAACAGGTGGGCACCACCAATGGCCACATGGGGCAGTGGCTTGATGTTATCTGTGTATGTCACTTCAAGAGCGTGAGGAGGTGGTGAAGAACACCACCGTGATTGTAGCTGAGGAGCTAGCGCGCAAGGTGACTGAGGAGAAGATGAAGATCATCATCTACGACATGCTCTCGCGCGAGGACACCGAGCTGACCGAGACTCAGGAGATCATGGACAGCTCCCACCCTCTCTACAGAAGCGCCTCAGAGCGGGAAAGAGACGGATACGCCTACATGGCTCTGGCGAAGGACGTCATACCAAGACACACAGCCATCGGTAGGCGACTGACGTCGAGCAAACAATCTGCTTCTCACCTTCCCGTTCTGTGTGGTTGTCTCAGGCCTGTACGGTGGGCGCCTGGTGGCGACGACGGACAGGCGGTGCAAGCCGGAGAACTACAACCGATTCTACATTTATGGCGTGGATGCCTACCAGACAAAGAAGGGCAATAACATCTTTCATCTTGATGGCTTCAGATTTAGAAGCGCCGCCGGTCAGTCAGCAGGCAGGCAGGCAGGCAGTAAAGATGGGTAACCTTGTGACTTGATATGTGTGTGCCTGTGTGGTGTCTCCTCTGTCCAGGGATGATGACCCGCGTGGCATGACGGGCAAGAGCGCCAATGTGGTGGCTCAGCCTTTTGAGTTGTTCGGCGTCCCTTTCATCTGCCATATTTCACTCAGGGCCATCAACAAGGACGAGGTACTCACACACGACGCCCGCACATGCTTCAAAGGACTGACGGTTGATTGGCTCAGGAGGTGCTGGTGGACTATGGGAGGGATTACTTCACAAGTGACGATTGGAGGGCTCAGGAGAAGAAACAGGTGCCTACTTCCAATCAATGGCAGCACACATGTGTATATTCTATGTTATCTGCGTCATTCAGTCGCAGCAAGCCATGGAGGAGCTGCGTCGGTTGAGGGACCGACAGCCGTTGCTATCTGACGTCAAAGAAGAGGCAGATGGTACGCAGGCGTCGCATTGATACTTAAGACATTGCCAGGCAGATGTGTGTGAATGTGTGTGCAGCGTTGAAAGAAGGGATGGCCAAGAAAGACGAAGAGATTGCCGCTCTAAAGCAGGAGGTGGAGCAGTTGGCGCAGGTGCAATGTCCCGCCAAGAGGTCACGTGGCGTCGGCACCGAAAGTACAGAGGCCCTCCGTCTATAGTCCACCCACGTGTGTGTGCTGATGTCTTGTATTTACGCACGTAGATGTGCTACCCGACGGTGACGCCACCAGCTCCAAGAAACGACGTCAAGACCAGCACAATGGACCAGCAGCACCAGCAGCAGCAGCAGCCAGCAAGGGCGACAACATTTATGAGGAGTTCAGCGCCCAGGCGATTTTCAATGAGCTGCACATGCCTGTGACGGCCATCAGTGACGCCATCACCCAGCTGCACGCCCGGATCCGCCAAGCTGACGACGATGCTCAGCGAGAGAGGCAGAAGCACGGCGCATCGGACCCATCAGCAGCGTCGCCCGATGACATTCTGCTGCTCAATGTGGGCGGCAGCGAGTGGCGAGTGAAGCGGAACCACATGACTCAAGGGGAGGGCGTGGAGGGCACTCTGCTGGCGGCGCTGTTCTCGGGCTGCTGGGACGGCCGGCTGGTCAGTCACGACAAACAGCGTGTGTTCCTCGACATCTGCCCGGAGGCCTTCAAGACCATCCATACGGCCATCCTCAACGCCGCCACCCTCCGCCAGACGGGTAACGCCGCGTCAGTTGCCACGCTGCTCGACGAGGCATCGAAGCAGAATAGCTACACCGGTAAGGGCCATGAAGGCGACTACACACTCATCCCCTCTTATCACACTTTTCGTTTGTCTGGCCGTGGTGTAGGTTCCCATGGCTTCTGGATCAAGCTGCTGCTGTCGCCACTGGACAAGGCGGCCTCAGCGGCCCCTCCCGGAGGCGTCGCTGAGCCGCGCCTGTCCGCCACGGACAGCCCTGCCGCGATGGGCGACGCCGTCAGGACGCTCGAAGCTATCATGAAGGCCATCGTCAAGGAGAAGGCCCGGCTGGAGGGCCAGCTGCTGGCGGCACAAGGACGACGTGACAAACTCGACAAAGAGATACAGGTGACGAGATGCGCCCAGAGGGAAAGGAGGCGCCTTGATGTGGATCGGTGGCTTGTGCACCTGGCAGGCCGTCATGCCCTTCCTGGCGCCTCTGAGTGGCGGCGATGCCATTCGGTCTGTCGACGTGTGCGGGAGTCTCATCTCGACGGTGCAGTCCACCTTGGACGAAATGGGCGACATTGGGGCTTCACAACCGATTCGATATGTAAGTTAAGCCAACCACACACATCATTCAGATGTCCCTCAATACGGGGTTTCCGTCAGGTGGTCGCGCACACGTGCGGTTGAGGTGGTGCAGCCCGACCACATCTGCCGTATGGTCGATTACTATCGCCGCAAGCGGCTCGGTGCGTCGGCGGCCGACATGGCTGCGGTGCTCAAGATGGCCAATTCGACAGAGCAGGCGGCCTTCGACATCAACACGGCCATGTACGGCGTTGTCAAGCCCGACACACACACCACACACGGCGCGCAGCAGACCAGGTACGCAGATGGAGAGCAGCGCAGGAAAGCTGCCCTCGCCGTCTATCTGTCATGTTTGTTCCTTTGCAGCGACATTGATGGCTTCATTGAGATGCCATCTGGTGTGCGCTATCGCATCGTCACGGAGGGCACCGGCAGAGTGCCGACACTCAACGACCGCGTCAAGACCGACACCATTGCGTGGAGTGACGGATTCGACGGCCGGAAGAAGGCATTCGATTACCGTGGGGAGGTGCGTCGTGTGTCTGATTTGGCTGAGTGGTGGCGTAAGGCGGTGCTGCCGATGAGGGAGGGGGAAGTGAGGCAAATCAAACTGCCACGCGGATATCCTTATCCCCGCTATGTTGAGCTGCGTTTGATCAGCATAGAGTAGGAGAGAGTTCACACACACGTGGGGGCGGCTGTGTGTGTCACACACTCATGTGTGTGGCCGGGGGCTCCTCCCTCTCTGCCTGGCTGACTGTGTGCCTCGACATTGTGAGCCACCGAGGGAATGTGCTGTGATTTTCGTTTAGCGCAGCATCGTGTTGTGCGACGTGTGTGCCTGGGGAGCGTGGGTGTTTGTGTGCGTGTCGCATGTCTTTCACTCTGTCTGCCTGCCTGCCTGCCATGATTGGGTGGGTTTTTCGGTCGGTCGGCCACTCACAGCCACTGTGTGCGGTGCCTGACACACATAATGTCTGTGTTTGCGGTGACCTCGCGCTGAGTTGTTGTGTGTCAACGCATGTCGCAATAGACTCGCATTCACCGCCGACGCAGCCTCACAGAAAAACTGCACATGCCCACACTACCAATGTCATCCGCACTATGTCTTCTCGGTTGTGGTGGGCGCGTTGAGCATCGGCTCCCCGTAATACTTCTGATACTCCTCCGCGTTCACTGACACCCAGGACACACAAGATACGTGTGAGTATTGGACCTGTGTGTGTGTGTGTGTGTGTGTGCTGGTACACAATAACCATGTGCAACCGTACTTTTGTTTTCGAGTGCGATGACGTCTTTGGCTTTGGCGACTTCGTCGGCCGGCAATGCATCCACCACATCGCCCAAACGATCCCTGACCACATACACGCAGCATCACACAGCAGGCACACCAGCACATCCGTGTGTGTGTGACACATGCGCACGGTGTGCAGATGGATGGATGGATGGATGGATACCTGACGGTCTTGAGCGCTCTGGCGATGAAGTCTGGACGCCAAGACAAAGACGCACAGGTACAAGGCATTCGGTGCGCCAGGCAGCCACGCTTTGTTGCACTGACCTGTTTTGGTGCGGTCTATGTCGCCCACTTTCAGCGAATTCGCCCTCGGATCGAAATACTCGAGCAGCGTCGTCAAGGAATCGACCGCCTCGCCGCCGGCATTCCGCACCTGACGTCGACGGACACGCGTACGTGCGCCAACGTGGTGTGTGGAGGTTTGTCGTGTGTGCACCTGTTGTTGTCTGTCTTGTGGGGCGTACAGCGCTAGGATCTGAATGTTCTCCTTCAGCCGATAGTTGTCCAACATGTAACTCACAGCCTGATCAGACACACAAACATTCATTCATTCATTCATGCACACCTCACTGTCCGGGTGTGTGTGTACCCGTACGTACCAGCTTGATGTTGGCTCTCTGTGCATCTCTGAATTTGCCGCTGCGAATCAGACGTTCCTCCTGATTCGTCGCTGCACACGCATCAAGCAGGCGCCCACACACAGACAGACGCACATGTGCATCTGCTTGTATGAGTCTGTTGGCAACGCACCTTCAATCACCCGCAGAATGCTCACAAGCGGCTTCTGAATGGGCGGCAGGCCAGTAGAGGAGTCCGCATAGGATGACGAGAGGGGCAAGAGCAGCCCAGCCATGATGCCCAGTGCCCACATCCCTCCATCACCCAGGTTCTCTCTCCGTGTGTTTGTCACACTCATGTGCAAAGCAGATGGGCTCGGTTGCCTGTAGGCAGACACAGAGATAGATGCTTGTGTGTCTGTATGTGACGCAATTGTGGAGAGCTCACCTTGTCGATGGTCTTCGAAAGCTGGTCTGCGTCTGTGTCTGTGTGTGTCTGGAGAAGGGAGAAACCACACAAACAGTCAATGTCTGTGTTCCCACATGCAACAGCATATGTGTGTGTGTACCGTTCTCTCCATCCATCTGTCCTCGACGGCAGCACAAAGCCGATCACAGAGCAGCACAAGAGGTGAACAGTCAGCAGCAACAGGATGAAAGACGGCGGAAGATCTCTCATTCTTCTATGCCCGATGGTCATTTGCTTCACTGTGCAGACCCGAAAACAGCGAGAGGAAGGCAGAAAGGCGACTCGGAAGCGGCGCTGACGATCGCCGATACAGCTCGCAGTGATTGGAGAAAGCAAAAGCGAAACGATGGCAGCCATGCTCCTGTGTTTGCTTGTCGCGACCACATCTGTCGGTGTGCTTGGCTTCGTTCCGCCGTCTGTCACGCCAACCAGAGCAAAGCAAGGTGAGAGCACCGATAGATCCGCACGCAGACAGTCACTGCCACATAGCGCTTTCTTGTCTGCTGCTGCTTGTCAGGCATGTGGCCTTTGAGTGTCCCTCGGGCCTCTCGGCAGCCCGCCACATCTGCATCTCCATCGAGTGTCGTCGAAGACGCACTCGGCGTGGTGAATGGCGAAAGCAACATACGATACACGTGAGGCTCTCAACAGAGAGAGAGAGGGCAGCACACGTAGAAATCACCTTTCTTTTTGTGCGGTCAGTGACTACGTCGAGACTGCATCTTTCCCCCCTGAGAGCTCTGTGCTGTCCACTGCTGAGGTTTCTGAAGAGGTCGGCAGACCCCAAAAACACACACTGCTCCCTCTCAGAGATCCGAGTCATGTCATGTGATGTTGCTTGTGATCGATGCAGTCAGCAGCACCCGCGGCACCGAAGAGGCGGCGGCCATTGTCCAAGGATCCGCAGCTGATTGTGGAGGGGGACTCGACACAAGTGACGCCATACCAGCAGCTCGTCACCTACGGTACTCTGGCTCTCGCACTGGCCGCTATCGCACAAGTGAGAAAGAAAGAAGGACACACGCAGACGGCAGCTGTATTGTGTGTGGGCGATGGTGTGTTCAGGCATTGGTGTCTGATGCTTCCAATCCTGCGCTGATGTCGCTGATGGTGCCTTTCGCATTGCTGTTCGGTGACCTCTTCAGCGGAGTCTTCCACTGGTATGAGCGCGTCCACCTTTTATTCTTTTGCGGTGTTGGACATATTCCATTGATGTCGGTGTGTGTCTGTCTGTGTGCATCAGGGCTGTTGACAACTACGGCAACAAGAACACTCCCGTGTTCGGCAGTGTGATAGAGGGCTTTCAGGGACACCACAAGTACCCATGGACCATCACATACCGGTGAGCATGGACACAGAGGGGCGAGAGAAAGATACCATCTGCTTTGCGGGATGTGTGTGTGATGCAGTCCGTTTGCGAACAACGTGTACAAGATCTGTTATGGTGTACTGCTCATCATGGCCACCACATTCATCCTGCAGGCACCACCTGGTACCCTCACACACGCACACACGTGCCGTTTCATGGATGATCTTTTTGCTGCGTGCGTGTGTGTGTCCATATCGTCAGCTGTCCGTGTGTTCATGACGGTGTTTGGGTTGTCCCAAGTGATGGCTCAGGAGTTCCATAAGTACAGCCACATGACCAAACCACCCATCATCGTCCAAAGGTGCGAACGTCCTCACCGGAATACACTCGTGGGCTCACACATCCATGTGTGTGTGTTGTCGATGATTGCAGGTTGCAGGGCATGGGGCTGATGCTGCCAAGGAAAGAGCACGGGCTCCACCACTCAGAGCCTTTCGAAGGTCAGCCATGAACATGACTACACACAAGCATGTCAGTACATGTATGTGGTGTCGTGTGGTGTGATGTGTGCAGGTCACTATTCAATTTTGTTTGGGTGGTTCAACCCGCTGCTCGACCACTCACAGGTCTTCAGGCTGATGGAGAGGGCCATCTACAAGTGGAACGGTCAGTTACCACACAGGCGCGTTCCCATCCATCGCACACACGTCTCTCTCTCTCTCTCTGTGTGTGTGTGTGTGTGTGTGTGTGTGTGATGTATCTTATCTACCAGGTCACATGCCGAATAGCTGGAAACTCGACGAGAGGCTGAGACAGGAGCAGGTTGACATGATCGAGGGCTCACAGAGGACATGACGTGCCGTCCCGTGTGATGTGTGTGTGTGTTGGTGGTCGGGGGGCGGGGCTGAGTGTACAGCGATTTTCCACCATCCCGTCTGTCAGTTGACGTGTACATAGAGACGTGGGATCAGGGAGGTTGGCATGAGTGTTCAGTGTTGAGTGTTGATACTTGGCTGGATGCATTGCCCTTGCAATCAGTCAGTCTGTGTGGGGAGCGATTGTAGTGGACCTCGACGCTCAAACGCAGTGGAGTGACGGCCCTTCTGCCTGTGATCAGCGGCAGGCAGAGAGAACGTCGCTTGAGCGCGTTTGAGCGCCGAGAGGACACCAGAAACACTACCCCTTGTCCGGATAACTCTCACTATCGTTTTGTCATCGAGAGAGACAGTTTTGTCACCCGCTCTCACCATTTTGACTTCCGCATGCGCACAATCGTGTGAGTGTCGATAGAAAGAGCCGACCGACCAAGTGCGTGTATGGGTTCTCTTGGCACTACGATCAGCTTGGTGGACGTCTTCTCTGCCTGTGATTGACAGCAGGCATGAAATCCGTCTGTCGAGGGGATCTGAGCACCGAGAGAGCACCAGACACGCACATGCACACACCAGTGTATGTCTGAAGAGAGAGTTTTGTCTTGACACCGTTCTGCCTCGCTGTCGAATACAATGGCCTTGCCTCTCCGCTCGCCTGTCTTTCATGCATTCACACCGGTCTTGCCTTCATTACTTGACAGGTTTCTCGGTGTCTGCGATATCGATGTGTGTTTTTCGGTGTGCTGCTGTGACTGCAGTGAGTGGACAGCCAGCCTGTTGGTTGACGGTGCTGATCACGTGAATCATGCTCAGTAAGAGTGGGTCAGAAGGGAAGGACGCGTTCATTGGCAGAGCACACATAGTTTTCGCGCACCGCACGTCCACACCATGAGACAGCACAACACACCGCTCACATGCTGAATCGACTACTACAGGGACACATACACACACACGCGAACGAGGACAAGACAGCCACAGAGCCATAGATGCCACAGACGGACCACGCACACACAGGAGGCATAGTATGCGCCTACGTGTATGTGTCCTCACACCAAGACATAAAAAACACTTAGACTCTCTGGCACACAGGCCGCCATGGACAGCACACTCACTCCTTCACTCAGCACCGGGGCAGACACTCACCCAGGCACACATGAGTGTGACGAACACAGCCGCCCCCACATGTGTGTCTGTGTGCACTCTCTCCTACTCTATGCTGATCAGCCGCAGCTGAACGTAGCGGCCATATCCGGCTGGTAAAATAATTTGCCTGACCTCCCCCTCACTCATCGACAGCACCGCCTCACGCAGCCACCCATACAGACCAGACACACGACCCACCCGCCCACGGTCATCGTAGTATTTGTCCTGGCCGTCGAATGCATCACACCACGTTATCCAGTCGTACTTGACGCGGTCGTTGTTGTAATTTGTCGGCACTCTGCCGGTGCCGTCCGTGACGATGCGATACCGATTACCTAACGGGGTCACAGTGAAGCCATCACCGCTGCAAAAAGGACAAACAAGACAGATGGATGGCGAGGTCATCTTTCCTGCGCTGCTCTCCATCTGCAGACCTGATGACGCCGTACATGGCCGCGTTGACATCAAAGGCCCTCTGCGCCTGCTCGTCGGTCAGCTGCAGCGGCACACTCGCTTCTTTAGGTGAGGCGCCGTGTCGTTGACGGCGGTGGTGGTCGATCATTCGGCTCATGTGGTCGGGCGGCACGTCGTTAACGGAGCCGCCCCACCTGAAATGGTTGGCACACAGGACACGATGAGCACCCGTGTCTGATTTTCTTGTTGTTGGTTTTGTAATGTGATCTCATCACTCACACGGATGCACTGTTGCGCCGCTTGAGTGCCATATCCTCCGGCATCGCGTCGATGGTCGACTGACACGTCGAGAGGACTTCTCCACACACATCGACAGAGCGAACGGGGTCATCGCCGTCGATGGGCGCGAGGAATGAACTCACAGCCTGGCAATACAAACGACGAGCGAATGAATCCTCGGACGGTTTCCCTTTGTGAGTGCGTGTCGCTCACCTCTATTTCGGTCATGAGCTGCTCGTATCGCATTTTCTCTGTGTGCAGCTCCCCTTCGAGTTGTCGGTTCTGGTCAGCATGGGCCTCGAGGACGTTGTTCAGTGCCACGATGAGACCCCTGGCTGCGTCGGGGATGCCCTCTGCAGTCACTGATGGCTCCTTGCCGGCCGGCTGAGCGGTGTCGTCACTTGCGGGTGTCTTGTGGACGGGCGAGAGCAGCTTCTTGATCCAGAAGTCATGCAAACCTACATAAACACACAGACAGCTGAAAAGGTGTACACGCGCCCCGTCGTATGTGTCTGTGATCTGTGTGAATACCTTTGTTTCCACGCTTGTCAGCCTCGGTCAGTAGGCGGGAGACCGAAGGCACACTTGCCCCGCCCTTTCGAGCGGCCTGCTGGACGGTCCTTGCCTCCAGGATGGCCGTGTGGATGGTGTTGAAGGCCTCCGAGTCCATGTTGAGGAACACCCGCTGCTTGTCGTCCTTGATGAATCGGTTGTCGAACTTGCCGGAGAAGAGCGCCGCCAGCAGAGTGCCCTCCACGCCCTCCCCTTGTGTCATGTGGTTGCGCATCACCCGCCGCTCCGTGCCGCCCACATTCAGCTGCAGCATGTCATTTGCCGACGCCGCCGGTGGGTCAGCGATGCAGTGGCTCTCCTTGAGCTGAGCCGTGCTCTCCCTTTCGACCGTGATTTGTTGCTTCAGTGGGTTGAGGCTCTCACAGAGGATGACGGCCGGTCTGTGGAAGCTGTCGAGGACGACACGCTCCGGACATTGGGCGGTCAGGCTGTCGCTGTCCACCACCGCCGGAATGGACCAGTCTGCGGCGATAGATCTGTCCATTTCCCCTCCTCTGTGCCACCGTTGGGTCTGAACCGCACACAGACGTAAAGATGTGAACAGATCTAGGCCTTTGTCGGTGCCTCTCCGACTTCCCTGACCTTCGTTGCCCTTCGGGAGGTTTGCGGAGGTTTCGTTTGGTTGGTTATTGTGTTTAACGAGACTCGTGTCTGTAACCCCGAGGGGATCCTGTCCAGTTCACGCACTAAACTAGCAGCATGCACATGCATAGAAGCATGCACACGGCCTGTCTCCCCATCCCACCCACCCACCCACCCACTCGACACGCACGTGCCACCCTACATTGATGGTTAGAAAATCGCTGTCGACAACGGTTGCAGGTATATGAGAATGACAGCCAGACATAGGCAAGACACCCAGAGGCTAGTCAGAGAGCTCGACGTCGAGCGCCCACTGATCTAAGACATGCTGTTCGTACAGCAGCTCGTCGTCTTCCCCTGCCTGACTGTCTGGCAAGAATGGGTTGAGGGCAAGTCACTTAGTGCGTGTCGCCTGTGCTGACAGAAGAAAGTCGGCCGCTGCAGAAAGCACCGGCAGTTTGTCCGATTGCAGCGCACAATAAGTGAACACAATGGGATGTGACCTGCGCCACCGACGATAACTACAGGCATCAGGGGCAGTCACGCCATGCTGGGCGATAACTGTGTGGAGTGTGTCACGAGTAGAGCGATACAATGGACAGGATGCAAAAATATGAGACTCATCCTCAATGGGAGGGCGGGTGATTGATTGCCCAGTAAGGCTCACGGCAGATACGAGCAAGTCAGTTCTGTGCGAGCAAAACGGGCAGAAGCTGCCCTCTTGCGGCCGGCCGAGGATGCGTCCATCCATGATGGCAGAAGGGTAGCAGCCCACACAAAAAAGAAACAGAACACGGCGCTTACGAAACGGCAGTGACAGGTAGGAAGGAAAGCACGGCAACGGCTGAATGAGGCGATGGAGCCAGTCTTGCCCTTGCTGCACCACATGCATGTACGCAGCAGGCACATATGGCGCCATACACACAATCGAGTCAATGTCACATGGGCAGTCACGTAAGGGAGACGAAAAGGAACGATGTAGGCGAAGAAATGCTACAAGAAAGGCATGGTTGAACAGAGAGGATGGCACGAACAGCTCCTTGCGTGCCTGAAAGAGGGCCCTACGAGTAACAGCTGTCTGACCACACGCATATGTGCGCCAAGGCAGTAAGGATATCGCCTCGGCGGAGAGAGAGAGGGGCGGAGGAAGTGAGGGAGTGTCACGCATATCAGGCAAGCGAGCACGATTCCATCGCTCCATCAAAATACGAGCAAACTCTGCCTTCGTGTGCGCCGTGATCATCTGCTTGGTATCGATAGCACTCAGCGGGCCAATCTGACTAATCCGAACACGCTGGCCCATGAAATCGAATGTGCGTGCAAACAGAGTGAATGTGTTGTGCTTTTGCATGTAGAAGTAAGCGTCGTTGCCCTGCATGCGCCGGAATGACGGACCAGACCGATATGCATGCTGTGCAACAGCAAAAGCCTTCTCTGCAAGGATGCCAGCTCTGCGATTGCGCAGGCGGATATAGAAGGACAGCTGGCGATAACGCGCCTCGAAGAGCACTGAAAAGCGACCAAGCTCACACAGCAAGGCCTCAGTAGAGACACGACGAGTGACCCCATACATGACAGCAAGTAGTGCCGATGCAGACGCTCAAGAGCATCACAGTTAGTGCCCGCCCACAGCTCACTACCGTACAGGTAGACAGGCGCCACTGTGGCATCATACAGGTGGAAGCGTGTTTGTAGGTCAAGGGCAGGAAGCTGCCTAAGGCGACGTCGATATACCGCTAGCGCAGCCACCCCTTTCTTGGCCATCATATCTATGTGATGCTTCCACCCGCCCCTCTCATGAAATCATACACCCAGATAGCAGACCAACGGCACTCGTTCTAGTAGCCTATCTGGCGTCCCAAAGTAGAACTGTCTGTCTGCCTCACTCGATGGCACCCGATCAGGATGAAACACAACAATTTTGGTTTTGTCTAGGTGCACGTCCATGTGGTTGACGCGACACCACTGAAACAAACGATCCAAGCTAAGTTGAAGCCCAACAGCAGTAGTGTGCATGAGAGCGAGGTCATCAGCATACAGCAGGCAGAAGACGAGCACATCGAGTAAACGGAGAAGGTCAGGTGGAGATGCATGTCCGTCGCGAATGAAGCCAGGCAAATCATTAACAAAGAGGGAAAACAGCAAGGGGCCCAGAACATCGCCTTGCTTGACACCATGCAGCTCATTGAAGACGCTAGAGAAGCCCTCATACCCGCCATCCACACAAGCCTCTACATTAGCATACAGGGCCTCGAGAGCCCGAACGACTCGCTCGCTAATGCCACTAGCACGTAACTTACACCACAGCAGGCTACGGTTGATCGAGTCGAACGCCTTGCGAAAATCGACAAAACAAACATACAGAGGGGAGTTAGCTCGCCTGGCCCGCTCGATGAGCGATGCCAAGACAAAGCACTGACCGATCGTGGAGTGGTTTGTGCGAAAACCTGCCTGCTCAGGGCATATTGTTGACTGACGCAGCAGCTCTGACTGAAGCACATTACCATACAGCTTCATGAAGACGGGCAGCAAGTGAATCCCTCTATAATTGCCAGGGTCATCTAGGGGGCCTTTTTTACGGATGGGATGAATAAGATTGCGATCAAATGGCAGTGGGCAGGCAGTTTCTGGGTTTGGGTTTCAGGGTTTGTTCTTGAGCTTGCAAAGAGTCGGGGAAACCGATGACAAGGAAATGGGTGCTAACGCGAGCAGAAGGAGCAACGACGAGCACTGGCCATCCATCCGTGGCCAGCAGCCGGACTTCATCCATCGAGAAGAGCGGGATAGGCTGCACAAGCTCAAGGACTTGGGCGTCCTCAGATCCACCGCCCTCTTCCTATCGCAGGTCGACTTCGAGACCGACGTGCTGCGCCGCCGCCTCGCCCGCGGCCTTCACGAAACGACACTCGCCGACGGGACGCCGCTGGATGCCGTGGTGACGTTCGATGACGCGCAGCTGGAGGACCAGCTGCTGCTGCAGGTACACAGAAGGAAGACACAGATGGCATGGGGGATGGGCGCCACGCTCCACTGTCTGTGTGTCACTGCAGGCCACGTACCTGGTTGAGGATCAGAGTTGGGACGAGGTGGCCGACGCGCTGCGGCTGGCCCATCAGGTCACCCACTGTGAGCTGCCGGTCATCGTCACACAGCAAGATCTCGAGAAACACCGTAGCAAACAGGTCGGTGGGCTGAAAGGGAAGGAAAGGGGATGGATGGGTGGCACTCATCTCTCCGTGTGTGCCACGTCAGGCGTATTTGGCTCAGCCGCGTGTGGTGGCGCTGTGGAAGATGCTCGGCCGCCACGTCGACTTTGGTGGCGAGCGGGGCAGATTTGAGCTGTTCGACCACGGCAATGGCGACCTGCGGGCCGTCAAGGACGAGCCCGAGTGCCGCCTCAATCTGACCCCCCTGCCCCCCGCCCACCACTACCACCCACACGCAAGCCCCCACAACACCCCCGTCAGACACCACATCGTCGGTTACAACGAAGACGGCTGGGACACTGATGATGGCCCTGTGATCATCGAGGCGTCATTTTCCTCCTTGTTGGTGAGCACCATCTTGCTGCCCAACTATGCCGACATGGATCTCACCGAGAAAGACATAGACCGGTCGGTCAGATGGCAAGGGGCACACCGATTGTTGTCGTCCCTGATTCTTCATTGGCTTGGCTGCGTGTGTCTGCAGCGATGCCCGTGGCGGCGTGTTGGTGGGTCTGCTCGATCAGTCGGTCCACCAGCCGGTTGAGGGCACCACGGCTGTCACGGCGTGGACCATTCACGACACACCACTCAAGTTCAAGCTCTTGCTGCTGACGCCATTCGACCACCCCTTCATCGCACTCATCGACATCCGAATCGACGACTCGAAGGATAGACGAGGCAAGTTAGGGATGGGGAAGTGTCACTCAGACAGACAACCCATTCATTCTCCTGTGCTGTGTCTCTGCAGTGTCTGTGAAGGTGTTGACGACCGAGCCGCCAGCAGCGGGTGTGTCTGCTGATGCGCCCTTCAAGCAGCGCTTCCCCCGCACCACCGCCATGGCGCGCCCCGTCCTGGGCCCCATCGCACCCATTGTGTTCGACGGCGAGGACCCCAATGAGGACGGCAACAACACACATGGCGGCGGCACAGGTGGGTGAGAGGGAGTAGGGGTGAGGTGTGAGAATGTCATGCGCACATACGTGTTGATCGTCATGTGTGTGTGCATGTGTGGCAGGGTAGTTAGCTGTTAGTGGCGGTTAGGCGGCGGAACACTCTGGTGACGGAGGGAAAGGTGTGTAGGGGGTGGAGGGTGGGGGATGGGTTGGGTTGAGAGGCATGTGCATACGTCACTCACTGGTGGAGCTGATATGCACACACGTGATGGATGGATGGATGGATGGACGTGCTGTGGTGACCTTGCGTTCCTGTGTGCATGTGAATGACTTCCGCGTCCATCCGTGTGTGCATCAAACGTCACACACAAAGCACTGCGGTGACTTGGTGGTCCACTAGTTAAATGATCACATATCACCCCGCAACACTGGTGCCGTCCCATGCAGTTGCTTGCGGCAGCATCGAAAGTCTCACCACACGGATGCATGTATCCGGCTGGCATGGTGTGCAGAGAGTGAAGAGAGCAGGTGTGTCTGCGGCCGCACAGGGCACCGCGCAGCACACGTAGATGTGTGCTGGGCGTGACGTGCACGGCGGGTAACGGACCTGCCCACCTCCCAACCCTGCCACCACACCACAGCACACCACACCAAACCATCGCAGCCCTTCCGAGGCGAATCAGCTGAGCTGCGTTGCAGCTAAATGGGTGCGGTGCATTCACACACACACACCTGATGCAACCAACACAGCCACGCACTCGCCCACACACACAGAAATTGCCCAGATGGATGCAACATCTCCCTTCGGGAAGGCACATACACACACCTCGGGGACACAGAGCGATCGACCGACACAACAAAAACGCCATACAACATACATAGATCCCCGCCGTCAAAACGAGTGAGTGCGCCGTCTTGAAAATCGCCCGCCCGCCTCGTCTACCAAGCACACTGCTGTGGGGCATGGCGTGTGGGCGCCTTGGCTCTACTTGAACCACTCATCCATCAACCACTCATCCATCATCAGCAGGTCAGCTCACAGCAGGGCATGAAATGTGAAGGGATAACGGATGTGTACATACTTACAGACAGGGAGGGGAGGGGAGGGAGACGGATGAGTCAGTCAGTCAGTCAGCTAGACAGCCAGCATAGGTAGATTCTATCTACCAGAGGGTGTGTCCACCGTCGATGGTCAGGTTGATGCCCGTGATGTGGTCCGACGCACTCGACGCCAGCAGCAATACCGCACCCTGATGATGACATACACCACAACACACACAACACACGTAATGCACCCTGATGGATGGATGGATCGGATCCATGGCACTCTCTGTCTGGGCGACTGTCACTCACCTGCAGGTCGGTGAATTCGCATAGCTTGCCCTGAGGGTTCTGCTCGTACCACAGCGACACCAGCGGCCGCAGCGCCTCGGAGTTCTCAATCAACGCCGAACGCACGATGCCCGGAGAGATGCAGTTGACCTGCACCACACACACCGGCACTCCTCGTGTGGATGTGCGGGGTGGGTCACACACCTGAATGTTTTTCTTGGCCCATTCTGATGCGAGTGTCTTGGACAGCTGCAGGACGGCGGCCTTTGACGCGTTGTAGGCCGTCTGGTTCTGCGGGTGCGGCACCCACGTGGCGGCCTGAAGATCGATCGACACACAGCAATGGGATGGATGGATGGATGTCGCCCCTGCGCTGCGTGCTTTGTCTGACCATTGATGCGGTGTTGATGATTTTGCCTCCTCCCTGCTTCATCATCTGCTTGGCCTCGGCCTGGCACCAGAAGAAGGTCGACTCGGTGTTGAGCTTGAACGTCGCCTGCCACTCCTCACGACTCGTGTCGACTGATCAGCACACCACACACACCACACAGACGCGCGTGGGCGGGCGAATGGCGCGTGTGCCGCGTCTGTGTTGGCTGAGGACTCACTGGAGTCTGAGTTTTTGTTCATTCCCGCGTTGTTGATGGCGACGTCCAGGTGACCAAACGTCTCGACGATCTTCCCAATGCACCGCTCGGTGTCCTCCTGACCGACACACATCAGACGTCAGAGAGGTGAGTGCCACGTGTCTGTCTGTCGGTCGGTCTTGTGGGTGTCCTTACCGCTTTCGTGACGTCGGCCTGCAGGGCGAGTGCGCCGACGCCCTTCTTCATCAACTCACCGGCCACATCGGCAGCCTTACCGCCCTGACACACATGCACACACAGCCACACGGACGGATGTGTGTCGAACGACGGACAGGGCCACGTCTTCTGTTTGTGCTTTTTTGGCTCACGTCCAGATCGATGAGGCAAACACTGGCACCAGCATCGGCCTGAGAGAGGACAGAGGAGAGGGACAGGTGAGTGTGTATAGCCTCGACAGGTGCACCGCACCGCTGCATACCAGTGCGTGTGCGTATGCTCGTCCGATGCCCTGGCCGCCGCCCGTGACGAGGGCCACCTTGCCGCGGAGGGACAGACGGTCAAACACACTGGGCGCCTGCATGACCGCATCGCCAACCACTTAACACACACAACACAACACAACACAACACGACATCCATCCCTTGACGTGGGTGGCTCAGTGTTGTTCTGTGTTGCTGTTTACACTCAGTGGGTTCCCGCCGCACGAGCGTGAGGCCATCCCTGACACACACAAACACACATCACGGCCTTGTCCGTCCCTCCATCCCTCCATGCATTCATCCATCCGCCCTGTCACCCCTGCACCCATCCATCGCACCTGACGGGCAGCATGACCATCTCGAATCTAGGGTCGCTCCGCACCTTCTTGTTGAACTCGCGGATGGCGCTACCGCCCACGTCATCGGCGTTGTAGTCACTGTACACCCGGCCCTTCATCAGCGAGTTGTCGATGCCGATCACACCACCCGGCGCAACCATGTCGCGGTCGATCAGCAGGTCCCAGTACACCGTGTAGCCCACCTTATCTGTGCACAAAGAACTCACAAAAAGAGGCACATGTCCATCCTTTTCTATATGGGTGTGTGTCTGGGGGTCTCTGCTTCACCGGCGTCCATGAAGACGAAGTCGAATTTCTTGTCCCGCGTGGACACGTCCAGCTCCTTGAGCGTCTTGGCGGCATCGCCCAGCTCGATGCGGATCTTCTTGCCGTGTGGCGAGCCGGCGATCCTCTGCTGCACGAAGTCCTTGAGGTACGGCTCGATCTCGCAGGTCACCACCTGTCCGTCGTCGGGCACCCCCTCGGCCATGCAGAGTGCACCGAAGCCAGTGAACATGCCGATCTCGAGGACACGCTTGGCCCGCATGAGCTTGACGAGCATCTTCAGGACCACGCCCTCGTGCTGGTTGGTCACCATCTCCTTTTTGAGCTTGAATTGCGTCTTGCCCGCCATGTACACCTCCGACCAGGGGTGCACGACCGAGTCCTGCCAGATCTTCTGAGCCACGTCCGACGCCTGCAAAGAGGAGAGCAGTGGCAGCAGCGCGGGGCATGAGCAAGCGCGTGGTTCCGGGCGCGCGTGTGTGTTTGTTGGCCTACCGGTGTGGAAACTTGCTCGAGGTACGGGTCAAGGCCGCGCACGATGCCCAATGCATCCTTGACGTGCTCTTTCACCTTGGCCACGTCACTGTCGGGCGTCTCGAGCGCTGCCTTCAGCAGGAAGGTGGCCACCTCCTGCACCAACACACATTCACATGCTCGTGATTTACGGCTTCTGTCTGGCTACCGGCGTCGTGCGGTTACCATTGGTGTGTCTGGCTGTCCTGTGGCATTGATGTCGCCGTTCATCCCATTCATCTCTTCGTGTCTCTTCACCGCGGGCATATTTCGAAGCAGCGTGCACTTTGAAACGACGGCTTCTGCAGATCTGAGCAGCTCTCAACACCACTACAACTGGTGGACGACGACATACGACCTCCGAAGCCAGTGCCGGAATCTCCGTAAAACACATGGGATCCGTCAACGGTCAACGGCCGACGGTGTTGACGAGATTTTTGACGAAGACGGCACAAAAAAATCTCCTTTCTTGTTGGATTCACCGTCGTTCCACAGGCGGCTTGCCGATCTTACAGGTGAATCGACACCTGCCCGCCCCCACTGTAAGTACTAGTATATCTCCTCGTGGATACAGCCCATCTCCTCCGTCCTTGCCCATGTGTGTGTGCATTGGATACGGCAGGATCAAGGAAGACAAACGATGACGACAGCGCGGGAGAGAACACGACGCTGCTGACTCAGTCGCCTTGTAGCGCGTCAACACATCAGAGGACGGCAAGGACGACGAGCAAAACCCGGAGGATGACGACAGCGAATGGGTCCCCATCGTGCGCAACAAAGGCCGGAGCTTCATTGCCGTGCCAGAAATGATCGAGCGTGTGCAACGATTACGGTGGGAGGAGGACGGGCGAGGCCTGACGGTGGGGTTGTTGCCGGTGGAATTGGCAGGGGCTGAATACCGGCAGCAGTCGTGACTGCATAAAGGAGACGGGGCTGAAGAGTCAGGGCGGCCACTTTAAGAACAGGCGCACTGTGCAGCTGGACGTCCAGGAGGGACAAGGTGCAGCAGAGCGGCGAGCGCAGGTTTCGACCAAGTCCTGGCCACCGGCCTGTCGTCCTGCCGACCAATAATCCAGGTGGCCAGGACGGCAGGCCGGGAAGGGCGACCCAATACGGCTGAGGGTCGTGGGTGGTGCCGCAACCGGAGCGGCTCCTGCCGGACGGGCAGGTCCAGTGGGGGCAGGTGTCGCTGGTCGTCTCCCCCGTCCGGCAGGGGATCTGGATGCTGGTGTGGGTGGTGTGCAGCTCGCGGCAGCGGCAGCACGTGCGGCACGGGAGCGTTCGGGTGCTGATGCGGGTGAGCTCGGGGAAGCGGCAGCGGCAGTGAGTGCGTCTGCATCGGGTACACAACACGATAGGCAGACACTTCGGTGATGGCACTTCTCATCTTCTTGCGTTTGTGTTTTTAAGCAGTTCACGCCAACCGAGATCCTACGGCATTGGGTATCGAGATGCAGATGTTTGTGTACGTGGCGGTGCCCGGGCTGCAGACGCCCATGCCACTCGCGCTGAATTCTGCATGGACGGTGCCCGGCCAGAGACCTCATAGCAGAACGGGCAGCAGACTTCATGCCAGGCGGAGCACGTTTGTTGGAGGTTGCTGAGTGAGTGACAAACACGCGTCCGACAGTTCATTGGTGTTTCTTCAGGAAACTGTCGGACGAGCTTTCAGTGGCTGAAGAAGCCCGCCTGCACAATATGTGTGTGCAGCTGGAGTCCATCGAAGGGACGAATTGCTGTCTACATTTTATATCCAAAGGGAGGGAACGCTCTTCGACTTGCTCGACTGTGTCAGCCACAATGGCAGATTCACAGACACAGAGGGGGATTTGCAATCGGATATGGCCCGAAGTACGGCGGTGCGCGCCAAGTACGGCGACGAACTGATGGGAGCGATCCTCTAGGGAGCGACGAGTAGGGCCACCTACCAAGACTGACGTGTGGGTGATTGGCGGGTGGATGGCTGGATGTTCGATTGGTGTTGTTCAGCCTGGCTCTCCTCTTTGAGGCGGCCTACTTTCTGGCTGCTGATTTGATTGGATGGTGTATGGAATGTCAGACCAGCATCGACCAGGGAGGCTTCAGCCCCTGGTCCGTCAAGGTGCGTCACATGCACACATACACACATACACACATACACACACATATATACATGTACATGAATACGTGTACGCATGGTTAACCACTTCTTGGTGCGCGTTGACTACATACGGCTGGCCGACATCAAGGCGGCCTTGATGCACACACACATCCACTCGTTCTCACATTCTTCATGTCATCTCTTACGTGTGTGATCATTTTCGTGTGTCCAGGAGCTCATCGAAGGCGGCCTGCGTCGTCAAGGCCGTCATGGACTCGGGCAAGCACTGGACAGAATGACGGATGGTAAGGACACATTGCATGAGACACACAAAGGCCAGACCTGGTCTCTCTCCCTGACGCGGGAAAGTCTCTGAATCTCGATGACGTTGCTGACAAAGGGGCTGCCGAGCCGTTGAGTCGCTTCGGGCGACAGCAGAAGAAGAAACAACATCGCCTGCATCTGTACGATGGAGGGAACCAGCACACACTTTGAGGCCAGTGTTTCATCCGAATGCTATGTTGATGGTCCCGTGTCAGTGAGCTGCTGTATCCTCTCGTGGCTTTCTACTCCGAGTGGATGGGCCGGTTCCCTCGGGGCACCTTCGACACCAAACTCATCGCTGCCAGCCTGCTGCAGCTCAATAGCTCATCCAGGTACTCGTCCAGCCCACCACATACGTACCACGACGCTCCGGCCCCCCTCAGATCGCAGCTGCTCAAGGACGCAGACCGAAGGCAGGCACAAGAGACAGCACCGGCACGTATACATCGTGCTGTATTTGTCTCCGGTGTCAGCTCAACCCCCCCTAGCAGCTTCGTCACCTCCCCGTCTGCATCTGCATGCGAGGTCCTTGCTGGGGCCTGTCTGAAGCGAACGTTCAGGCAGGGAGGGCGGCCGATGTCTGTTCAGGGCAGATGAACACACATCGATGCGGGGGAGAAAGATGGAGTAGTGTGAGTGTGTTCCTTCCTCTATCGGTCTAATTTCTTTGTGTGTCTCAGGCCGAGGTCTCTGCAATCGCCGCTTACATTTTATGTTTCCTGTATGTGTTCCAAGAGGCGCATGTCCTGATCCCGACAACATCATATATGGACACACGAATGGCTGGTCGAGGCACGGAGAGAGACACATCAAAATACCGATCGGGAGATCATTTCTTCTGTCTGTCTGTCTGTCTGTCTGTCTGTGTCTCTGGGTGTCCCTCTTGTAGGCCGAAATGGGTGTGATGCTGCTGTGTTCAGGACCATGCGAGTGTCACAGACAGGTAGTAACAATGTGATCGCCTGTGGGGAGACGAATGGGAAAGCAAGGCGTGCGCCATATGTGTGCGGGTTTTTCAACCGCGGTTGCGATCGCTGGTTACATCACCTTTTATATCTATCTCTGCTTGTACGCTGCAAGATTATCCCACTCTCTGTGAGTGGGTGAATCGAATCGTCTTTCGACTTGCCACGATGAGAGAGACTGTGGCAATGTGTGTGAGGGATGCCGCGGCGGTTTGACTGAGGACATGCAAACAGAATCGACGCTCATAAAAGCAATTCTATTGAGCGACTCACACACACACACTGAGAGACACGCACACACACACGAAGGAATCCATGTCAGTGCGCCGCTGTTAAGCTGCAGCAGACACGTGATCCTACTCACTCCACATGCAGATGGCACACACGGGCAGAACTCAACGCCGCGGGCAGGCTCCGGGAACTGAAGTCGGCGGTCACCTCCCGTAAAACTGGATCTGAGCTCGCAAGTGCCATTCCTTCGTTTGTTCATTCGTTGGGACACCGAAGCCCCTGAGGGCAGATCACCGGTATGGCGAATAGCCGGATCCCCACGACATGGACGGAAACGGAGCTGTTGCCTCACAAAGAGTCTGGCCGGCCATCTCTGCCTGAAACAAACAGCATGGAGGCCAAGGACGTGCGTATTGAGATGGCACTGCCGCCATGCAAGCCTATTACGCTAGATCTGCACAACGTGTCAGGTAGGCAAATACTGCATCATTCAGAAGGATGAATGGATCTTTGCTGCCCTTGTGTGAGCGTCTTCCCAGTTGATGTGGAGATGTCTGTGCAGCCCAAGAAGCAGCGGCGGTTCTGGGATGGTGGCGGTGTCGGCAGCACGGCCCCCGCAGTGCCGAAGACCAAGCGCATCCTGGATGACATTACTGTCAGGCTGCAGCCTGGCAAACTGGTTGCTGTGATGGGCGCCAGGTGACATATATGACGCCACGCAGATACGACGACTTCGGTGGGCATCTCGTCTGTGTGTGTCGTCATATCTGCAGCGGCGCAGGCAAGTCGACTCTGCTCAACATATTGGCGACTCGCGTGGCGTGCAGCAGCGGCAAGATCCTCTCCAACGGGCGGCCGATCGACGCGTCGTTCATCAAGCAGTCGGCCTATGTGCAGCAGGAGGACCTCTTCTTCGCCAACCTGACCGTCAAGGAACACCTCATGTACCAGGCTCGCATGTAAGCCATCTCCGGGTCAACACATAACCGACATCACAGCTGTGACCGACTTCTTCCTACAGGCGGCTGCCTCGCTCGCTGTCCGACGGTGAGAAGGAGCAGCAGGTGGATGCGGTGCTGCATCGGCTGGGCCTGCTCAAGTGCCAGCACTCCCTCATCGGACAGCGACGGGGCATCTCGGGGGGTGAGAGGAAGCGCCTCAGCTGTGCCACTGAGATCCTCACCAACCCCTCGCTGCTGCTGGTTGACGAACCCACGAGTGGACTTGACTCTCATTTGGCTTTGAATGTGGTGGAAGTGCTCAAAGAAATCGCTCAGGCCGGTAGGCAGGCAGGGAGGGACAATTGATGATGCGGCTGTGTGTGGATCACTGTGTGTGTGCGTGTGTGTGTAAAGGGCGCACGGTGGTTGCCACCATCCACCAGCCGTCCACCGAGATCTACAACCTCTTCGATGAGCTGATGCTGTTGGCCGACGGCAGACTGGTCTACTTCGGGGGCCGCGACGACGCCATCACCTACTTCGCCGAGCTGGGCATGTCTGTGCCGACCTACTGCAACCCGGCCGACTTCTTTATTCGATCGCTGGCCATCGAATATCAAGACGACAAGCAGTTGAAGCGCATCCATGGGTGGGTGGGTGGGGGAGCAGGGGATGGCATGACATACACACGGATCTGCTGGCGGTGCCTGTTGTCCATTCAGTATGGCCGACACATGGGGGAAGCTGCAGCAGCAGGCCAGAGAGGATGATGTGGACGGGAAGATGGGCAACATCGCAGAGGTGGGGGGGGAGAGGGGGGAGGGGAGAACGTTCTTTGCACAGGAGTGGGTCGTGTTGACATGTGTGTGTGTCATGTGTGTCAGCTGCACAACAACATTCAGTCGGAGTCGTCCCCTGTCGATGGGAACGCCGTCGCGCTGAGGGAATACTCAACAGACTGGTTGGTACCACATACACACAAACATACACACACACACGGGGATGCATGGAGGTGTCAATCAGGCTACCTCTCCATCTCTCTCTCTCTCTCTCTGTCTCTCTCTCTGTGTGTGTGTGTGTGTGCCCCTCGAACAATCACTCAGGCTGTATCAGTTCCGCACTCTCTTGTCGCGTGCGACCAAGAACAGCTCCCGCGATCCGATCTTGATGCGCGCAAGGTTGATCCAGTCGCTGGTGCTGGGGCTGCTGTGCGGCCTCATCTACTTCAGACTCGAAAACAACCAGAGGGCCGCACAGGACAAAACGGGCTGCATCAACTTCATGCTCATCAACCAGGTGGTCCATCAGCCAACCAGTCGCGCACACAAACCATCGATGGGGGGATGGGGGGACATATGCATGTGTTTGATGGGCGTCCTTACAATGTGTGTGGTGCAGGCGATGGTTGGTGTGATGGGCGTGCTACAGACGTTTCCCAGCGAGAAGCCGATAGCCCAACGAGAGTATGAGAGCGAGGTGTACCGTGTGGACGCCTATTTCCTGGCCAAACTGATCAGCGACATCCCTTTCCAGCTCTTCTTCCCATTCCTATTCACAACGTACAGTACATCAAACAAACAGACGGCTTGGCTTATATGTGTGTGTGCATCTGTGTGTCTCATCTGTCTGTGTCTGTGTGCAGGATAACGTATTGGATGGCAGGTTTGAACGACGCCTTCGTGCCGTTCGTGTTGACCGTGATCTTCGTGCTGCTGACGGCCAATGTGGCCATGTCCGTCGGCTACCTCCTCTCATGCATCTTCGACAACGTATGTACACTGCACTCGTACGACACACAATATGTACATGACCTCCCGCCGCTGCACACCTGCACACCTGCACACCTACACAGACAGATGGGCTGGGCTGTGTGGGTGATTGATTACATATAGGTGGGCGTAGCCCTTGCGCTGGGCCCCCTGTTCGTGATGCCCTTCTTTTTGTTCGGAGGCTTCCTGCTTTCGATAGAGTCGATCCCCATCGGATGGATATGGCTAGAGGTACGGCCACACCCACACTAATCAGCAATCACCCACCCACTCACACGCCCCCCCCCCCCCC